TACAGTGGAAAACTAGAGTATATTTGTATTTTGTCTTGCAGGCAATTTTAAAGCCACCCTTGAGAATTTCTCCTCTTGACCTCATCATATCCAAAGGAACTCTCTTGAGCACAGAGGATCCCATTTGTTCAAGCATGTACATAGATTCAATAATACTAAGCAAGTATGAGCACTCTGTAATGGCTGTATACAAGGTAGATGGGCCACACAAATGCTGCATTGACATTCTTCTGTCTGCCTGCTGTAGACTGGGTAGATATAAGCAATCCATCTTGGTCTATTCACTGAGCTTAATAGAGCTGTGTCATTTATATTTGTCTAATTTGAGTCCTAATTTTCTGTTATTGAGTGAAATATTAAAAATATGTTTTCAACCTTTTCCTCTTAATTACTATGAGTATGTATTTCCTTATGACACAATAGAAAACATTAGAAAATAAAACATATCTTATGCTCTGGGCAACCGGTTTTGACATTTATGTAGTTTTTTCTCTTCAAATTCCAATTACACCTTTAGTTATTGCAGTATGTATTCTCAATACCTAATCATTCAAATAAAATAATGAGAAAAGAACAGTTCTCAACAGTCAGCACTAAAAAAGGGCTATTTTTCATTTACAGTCTTCTTATCTGTAAACTTTCATGGGAACAGTAGATAAACAGAAAATGACATTGTGTAAGAATAAATACAAGCAGATCTTGAGTCACCCCAGCTACTGGGTTTTACATTACAGCCTAAAATAACATCTACAATTTATATGTTTTTTCCCTGTCACATTGAAAAAATATTTTTGTATCACGGGGCAGATGCATGATATGACTGTATAAAACTGAAGAGAAAGAATAGATGTACAGAGTACATCTGCACAGCAGCTTCCTGAGGGAGTTTTGGTAGTACTTATTCATACTGCAGGGGAGACCTTTTCTTCTAAAAGTGACAAATAGTATGGCAACTTAACACTGTGCCATTACATATTGCTATAGTTCAATCATCTTCTTTATCACATTCTCTCTTACTTTAAACTAGCTCTCTTACTGCATTCTGAATTACAGCATATTAAAAACTTCAAGTTTTAAGACATGGATCATCTCTTAATTGTTTCTGCATCATCATTCCCAGTGGGACCCTAGCCTTTACAAAAATATCTGTTGCCATACAACAATAACAAAACAACTAAACATGCTGCCATGAAGAAAGGTAAAGAGTCTCCAGCCTTGTCAGAATACATAACTCTCTTATCATTTTGAAAGTAACAATGATGTGTGAAGACTACATGACTTTAAGCAACTCTAAAGACCAAATGACCAAAAAAACATGTAGCACAGAGGCAGACCAAAAATTTATCCTAGAAAAATGTGCTTTAAAAAACACTCTAGATTTTACTTCAGTCTTTCCATTTTGCCCTTGCACCAGCTCTTGGAGGGCTACACCTTTTGCCTGACACAATAATTTCCCAGGTAGGAGCAAAAAGCCTGCTCAGGGAGTCTGTTAAAATATGTTCAGAAAGCACTGCCTCCTCTGATGTTTCAGGGAAACATTTTTCTTTCTAGACCACTGTAGAAGAATGAGTGCAATGAGTCTGAAATTGCAGGCTGGGGATTTCTGCAAGGCAGCAGCTGCCTGCTGTGAGCAGCAGCCAGTGTTGGGAAGGTGTACATGCTGAGGCACAGGCAGATGACAAAGCTGCACTGTAACAGGGCACTGATGTCAAAATGGAGAGAGCAAGAATCTCAAGAAAAACTAAAAAATTTATTTCTATCTCAAAGTACACAGTGTGATGAATTTAGGCTTTTCTGTATGAGCACAGTGTGCAGATTTGGTTTTGGGGATGTCTTCTGCCTGCATATGTAGACTTAGATAGACAGCTGTAAGGAAAACAGAGAATGAAGGAAAAATCAATGGCTTAAAACAAGCAGACTATCAAAAAAATAAAATAAAATAAAAAAGCAGACTTCAGTTCTTCAGGGTACACACAAATCCCAGAAACGTAGAATTCTGACATTACAAATTGATCTCTGTCCCAAATGAAATGCCAACTGTTGGAGGTGCTGCCTTACAGGCAGTCTTTTTCAGAGGAAACCAGGCTGATCTGTGCTAATCATGCGAAAAAAAGCTCCTAAGCTTCTTATGGACTGTTTCCTTTTTCTGATGCCCTTTTCTCTAACAAATTTGTTTCTTCCACAAAAATACACACTACACAGGTCTTAAAAATGCTGTTTTGTTGCAAAATACTATTAACTATAAATATGCTGAACAATAGGTTTCTACATCAGGTCACAAAATCATAGAAATATTAAAGTTGGAAAAGACCACAAAGATCATCTAGCTCCGTGACCAACCTATTGCCATCATGCCACTAAGCCATGTCCCTCAGTGTCACACCTACCCATTTCCTGAACAGCTCCAGGGATGATGCTCTACTACCTCCCTGGGCAGCCTATGCCAATGCTTTACCACTATTTCTGAGAATAATTTTTTTCCTGTTAGCACAGGAAACCTGAATGTCCCTTGGCACATCTTTAGGTTGTAGAGAACCTTTCAGGAGGTTGTAGAGAACAGTAAGATCTAATTAGATGATAAACTGGATAGATGTAATTTGCAAGTCTTACCTTCTCAGGTAAGAACAGGTGATCTTCTAGACCTTCCACTGTGACTCTTCCTGCTGCTTCCATCCTCCCCATTGCAGGCAAACTTTAAAACCACATTGTGCTCTAAAGTTTCAAGGAAAATGGGAAAATACCCTCCTGAGAAAGACAGCCAGCAACATTTAGTGCTGTGTTTCTTCTTTTCAGTTCAGAGGACAAAATTTACAACTTTCAATATGCTATTTCTTTGACAATGATATGTTCTTTGCAGCAATTCATTTCATTTATTTTTGAACTTACTATGATGGATCAAAATCCACGACTGATTAAATTTCTTTTAAGGCTTATTTTTATTTAGTACATGTTGCAGGAGTTAATGTGTGAGCACATCACAATATATCTGGGTTAGCTTTTAATTACATGAACTACATACACTCTTAGAGATCCAATAGAGCCAAAGGGCAAAAGATTGCGAGTCAGACCAATTACAAACACAGAGCTCTGGTATATGTTGCTATTGGAGGTAAAAAAAAAAACTTCAGAGCTGGGGTATTTCTAGGATGCTTCTGATTGAGGGGGAACTAGTGGAAATTGCTACATTCCCTCAGTGTTGCCTAGAAACCAGGGGAACAGTCATGATGTTTCTAAAAACACTCACTCACATTTGGGAGTTGTAATTATCTACATGGTGGAAAAAACATATGAACAATGGGAAGGACACTATGAGAAATACATCATTAAGGTCAGAAAGAACAGCCTAGCTACTATGCGTTAGGAATGATACACTGAGAATTCAAAAATGTGAAATTCTGAATTCAAACAATGAAACAGAAAGTATTCTAAAAGTATAAAGATATTGCTATGTGCAGCTCATTTGAAAACAACAAAAACAAAACAAACAAAAATGAGAGACATTTTCAGTAGCTGAAGTCAATACACAGCATTACAACTAGAGCCCAGGTCACACACAGCAGTGAGATCTCAAGCACTCAGCCTCCTCTGCAGTATCATCAAGTATTTGAAATTGACACCGTTTTAAGACAATCCCTTGCTTAGGGGCAATCTACTGGTTTAACTATATGAATTATTACAAAGAAGTCTAAGCACTGATACACAGCAACTAAGGCAACTGGTTTCCTGAAGCCCTATCTCCTAATTTCTAATTTTGCATGCAATCAATAATCCGTTTTGGGGAGGGGAAAGAGAAAGAGCATTTGGATTCAGGGCTTTCTGGATTTTTATTGATGGGGGAGTCAATTTATCAGACACTCTTCTGGGCAGACGGTTCTAGTGGTTGGGGACCCTGCACATAGCAGGGGGATTGAAATTAGATGATCACTGTGGTCTTTTTCAACCCAGGCCATTCTATGATTCTATGATTATGATGATATCATTGTCTTCACACCAAAAGAGATATAAGAGAGAAAGAAAAAGTGCTATTATTTGTTTTAGGAAAAAAAAAAAAAAAAAAAAAAAGCTATTTTGTGACCTAATGGTTGGTGGAAGTTGACATACCATAAAAGCAGACACCTTAATAAAAAACAGTCAGGAAGATGAGTTGGAATGAGGATCCAAAGAGGCTTGTATTTCCTTTCCTGACTCCTCTCAGACAAACTTAAAAACAATTATCATTACAGATGATTTTACAGAAAGCAGTATTAGACTGTCAAAATGATCGCTATAATGTGGAGCACAAGAACTAAGGCTACATGCAAAGAGTACTTCACACAACATAAATGGGAATATAAAAAATCATTAAAGATCTACTAAAGCAGCTTTGAAGGGAAACCATGGGCTGACCAGCAGGAGCTAGGGGGTAAACAACAAACTTCAACTATGCATCCAACATTCAATAGTTGAATACTGAAAAGTTTTCTGAAATATTTGGTAAGCACTACAGTCACACAAAGTGTACAGCAATACTTCAGGTTTCATCCAGCATAACTATGTCTGCTTCTGTGACTTCCTGGGAATTTGGAATGAGGATGAAGTAAGCATCTTGTTCATCACTGGCAAAAATGCATGGCTAAGGGTGCTGACTGCGTTGAAAAACGGTGTTCTGTAGCTGAGAATTTGCTCTATAAGTGTTATTGTGTTCTTTGTATCATCTGTTGCAGTTTCCATGGAGATAAATAGGAGACATGACTTCTGGAGCGACTATGTAAAACCAAACCTACCACTTCTTCAGAAAGTTAAATACAAACACATCAGTGTTAATACAAACATCAGCGATACGATCAAATATTGCTTTTCAATATCTGCTGCTGTGGTTCATTTCTAAAGAACCGCTCTTTTGAAAGAGTGAATTTCTTCATTGCAACACACTGGGAATACTCCAGCTTCTCTACTTGCCATTCTCTCCTACAAAACATGAGTAATTTTGCTTAAAACACTCACTTGCACCATTTTTATTTTTTTTTACTTTCAGTCAGGTTGCAAGCAGGTTTGAATAATTGCTGTGGATTCCACCGAGGAACCAAAACTTCAGAGTGTAACACATTGCTTAAAGACGCCTCTGCCAGCAGCGATTCACCTTTATCCAGCTCACGTTACACGAGTTACGGCACCGCACGTGGAAAAACTGGGAGCGGCGCGATGCGGATGCCAGGCCCAGGAGAGGGCCGAGCCCAGGGACTGAGGGCGCCCGACAGCGCAGCTTCCCAGGGGCGGGGGTTGTTGTGGGGAAACCCCGCGCTGTGAGCAGCGCGCGGGAGAAGCCGTCCCCGAGGCCGCGGCCTGGCCCGGCCCCGCCCGCCTGGCGCGACGCTCCCGGCACCATGGCAACAGCGGAGGCCGCCGGGCCAGGCCACGTCGCGCCGTGCCAGACTCAGCGCCCCGCCCCGCCCGGCTGCTGCGGAGGCAGAGCCGTTGCCGCCTTGAGCCGAGAGTTGGGCTCGCCCGAGAGCATGGGGGTGAAGATGGAGAGCGGCGGCGGCAGGCGGAGCCAAGGTGCGGGGCCGGGGAGCGGCGGGCGGGGCTCGCCGGCGTTGGGGCGCGTTGCCGCCTTGCCGCCCTGCCTTTCTCGGCCTGCCGGCCGTGGGGGGCTGGGGCGAGGCCCTCTCCAGAAAGGGGCCGGGCCGGGTGGGTCTGTTCGCGTGTTAGGGTGGCAATGGCGGCACCGCCTGCCCTGCTGTGCGGGGCGCGGCCCGTGCGGAGCTGGGCCGTTCAGAGCCATTCGGGCTTTTGCCCGCGGGGAGCACGGCTCGGCAGCGGATTCCACGCGGGCGAGGGGCAAAAGGTTCAACATCGTAACGTGGCCGCTAAAGCGTCCGCCTTACAGGCAGCGTCGCTGCGGTGCTCTGCCTTCAATTGGCGCTCAGCGCTGCCGTGTCAGTGCGGCGTGGGGTGGGCAGGGAGAGCCGCCTCGTTGTCGGTCTGAATTTCTTCGCCCTTTGGGATCAACGTTTCTTCTTTTCTAAAGCTGGTACGGCTCTGAACTGTCGTTTATAATGGTGTTGGGTTTTTTTTTGTGAGCAGAATTCCATGTAGATGGCTGTTGGGTGCGGGTCCAAGTTTTTTGGGGAGCAGTGGGTGTTAATGAAAGAAGTAAAGGATTTTTAAATAAAAGCTCTGAAAAGGGTGGGAGATCAGATGGATGCTGCCAGGCACTTCACAGTGGTGCTCAGCAAGTGGAACTGTAGGAAGCCTGCTTTAGAAGGGGCTTGGGCTAGGTGATCTGCTGCCCTTCCAACCCCTGTGATTCTATCTGATTCTGTCATTCCTTACCGAGATTTAATCAGCTGTGGGCTGCCGGTGTGTTCCTGCAGTACTCATAGAGACGTTTGTCATTTGTGATAAAAACAGGCATAAACATGAAAAAAATGTTTACATGAGCTAGCTCCAGCTCTTGGAAAGTATCTGAAGTATTTTTAGATGTGAACTTGATGGCATGAATGGTATAAAACAGTGGTAGGAATTACTCAATGCTGTGCTGTCAAAATTGTACACAGCTGTGTCAGGTCAGATCTAGCGAGATAACATTTCGCATTGCATCTTTATGGTGTCAGATCAGGTCTTTGGAGATGGTGACAGATGCCGCTCCAGGAGAGGTCTGATATTAGAGTAGAGTTTTAACATGAGGTCTAATACTACATGGATCTACAGACCTCTGGGCAAAAACTAGAATCTTCTGCATCCATAAATATATATGTTTAATGTTGCAGTCTCCATAGAAGACATTCCCCTTCATTGTGTGAAGGCAGTCTTACTACAAATCTGTCACGTTCTTCATTGTTCATGTTCTTGATTCTCTAAGTATTTTTATGGACAATCACAGTCTGTTGATTGTAAAAATAGAATAAATAGAATATAAGATCTAAACTTCATTCAGGCTGCAGAAGCTTTGACTGAATGCCTCTTCCTGTCAAACAAACAAAAAACGATTATACAAAATAATTCGAAAGAGTCATATCTTTAAATGCTATTGCTTGAATGCTTAGAAATATATCACATTATTTTACCTGAGCAAAATTGGCAGAACAGCCCTCCAGTTGCTTACAGGCAGTCTGTGAAAGGGGCAGAACAAATAATATCTGTGTGTTCTACATGAGATAGTTGTGCCCATACAATGTTTGTCCGGAAAGTTAGTACTGTTTAGGGAGGATTTCTTATTTCATAACCTGTTGTACTCCTTGCACACTTTTTGTTGTAATACACAAGCATCAACTTGGTGATACCATTCTGAATCTTCAGAATTTGACCATCACGAAAGTTGAAAAATTGTATTTGTATCTTGAAAGAAGAAAGGACAAATGGAAGTCACAGTTGAACCATAACAATACATTTTAACCGAAAGTGGCAAATGTTGATCACTGACCACAACTTTTTAGCAAATTAAAACGTTGTCTCAACCAGTCATTTAAACCTGTCGTTACTTTGCCCATTGGTAAAATAGTCTACTCAGTGACTTTTATTCACATAGTATGACTTATCCCATCTTCATTCAGCAGATAATTTAAAACTGTTGTAGTACTGAAATACCTAATTGGTCCAATTTCATTGAAGGTTTCTGGCATGCTTCAAATGAAATATGTGCTAAAGTAGCAGGATTCAAATCATTAACCCTACTTGCTGTTTTGCTTCAAATCATACTCTGCAACATTACCTGCAGCTCAGCGAAGCAAGGATTCTCTGCTCTCTGTTCTGCATGAGGCCAGCTGTGCCTTTTCAGTTAGAAATATGGGAAAATGGAAGATGAAATACTGATGGAGTATTCCTTGTAGGCACAGATTAAAAAACAAAACAAAACAAAAAAAACAGGAGACCTTTTCTCTCTGTGCACTATAAACTGAGTAGTGTGTTTTTCTCTCTATACATGCATGTGGAGGTATATATGATATCTGCTAATTGGAAAACTGTAATATTTTTCAAGAATTCACTAAATAAGACTCAAAAGAGCCTATTTTAAGGTTACTCTACTGTTTTGTTAGATTTCTTTAATCAGGGGAGGTTTTCAGTTTTGAAATATTATTTTTGTTGAATAGTTTTCATTTATGCGGAAAACTGTTACGTTATTAGTTGTAAAGGACTGAGAGACCCAACTCTTGTACATTGAGAGTAGATGTAAAGAAGAGGTTTTGTGTAACCCAGCAGAGTAAGCATATAAATAGTTCCAATCTAATTAATGGCTTAGAAGATTATATATGGGGCGCATGTCAGGAAATGATTCAGTGAATTACTTTCATAATATTTTGCTTCTGACACAAATGATCCCATGCAAAATTCAAATGGAACATTTGGAACTTCATTTTAAAATTGGAATATTGTAACTTTATTCATCACATTTTACTTAAGAAAAATTGGAAAGCAGTGGCAATACATTTTTTTTTTCTGGTTGATTCTCTACTTTTTAAATAAATCTTAAATGTGGTTTCGTAAAAGGCAGCTTCAAATCTAAGACTTGTGTTCTCAGGATTCATGGGAGTTTTTCTTTGTCATTGAAACCAGAAGTGGATCCAGGAGTCTTCTACTTAGTTTTCATGAACAGGAAGAAAAACAACATGTTATTAAGTCATTATGAAGTGTTCAATTTTACCCCTCATACTTTTCAGATAGAATGGAACACTATCAGTGCATTCATACCCAGCTAAATATGAAGATGTTACCTTTTGTGATTGCATAGATAACTGCAGAAAAGCAAAAAAGACCGGCTGTATTTTAACCTGTCTTCCTGAAAATGGAGCCTGTGGGTTGATTCCTACTGTCTGCCAGCCTTTTCCTCTTTCTGGTCCTGAATACGTTAAGCAATTTCAGCCAGCTATGAGTAAGAAGTAGGAATCTTAGTGGTGTGAGACTCAATTTCTGAGTAAGGCAAGAAAATCCCCAACAGATTAACGTACTTCTTTGGGGAGAGGCATTCTGTTCTCTTGCCGTCCCCAGATAAGCAACAAGAGGATGAGCAACTAGTCAGCCAAGAATAAGCAACTAGATAAGCTTAAACTAGGTTACCAGTTGTAGCATATGTTAACTAGATATAAACAAGATGTAAACTGAGATAAACCAGATGGCTGATGATAACATACAGCAGCTCTGCAGCCACAGCTGAGCAAGTAGGGAATGTGAGGGTGAGGGGGGTGGATGACTGTCAGGGAGAAGTCAAGTTGGGAAAGTTGAAGGAGGGTTACCAGGTATAGAACTAAGCCACATTGAAAGTATCATTACTAAAAGAGCATCCTATTGTTACTGTTTTTTAAAATAATGAAAGTGTATCATCATTCTAATATAACAGAAAACATAGTAGTTTGTTTCTTTTTTAAAGAAATTTAAATCCAGTGTGTATTTTCATAGGTTAATCTCTAACATAGATACAACAGCGTTTACTGTGTGTCTGTGTTGCATTCATATGCACAATTTTTGCAGCATAAAGAGGTCATGGATATTTTGATTTAAAAGTTCTCAGAGTACCAAAAGGGTAAAAATCTATTTAGCAGGTTCAAATTTCATTCCTTTAAATGTTACCTTTTCAGAAATGTTAGATTAGATGCTTGCAGGAGTTGCCATCACTACTTCTGATGTATTTAGGATTTCATACTCCATGTGTACAGTGTTAGTGCTGCAGCATACTGTTAGTGTGTATGGAGTTAGACAAATGAGTCTGTAGCAGGAACTGCTGAAATGATCACTAAACTAGTCAGAAAGGGTGATAGAGCATCCTTGGCTTCTGATAAGATTGCAGCACAAAGCCAATTCTGTGTGTAGTTGCCTGAGTTAACCACTTGGGCAGAGATGTCTGGCTGACTTTGTTTTAGAGTATTCAGGAGCTGGGAAGGAAGAGAAGAAAAGGAGCTAGTGATGGAAAAGGCAGCAGCTCAAAGCCTTTAGAAGTTAGGGTAATGGTTAGAGTATTTGCATAGCATTTGTCAGTTTGGGTTGAATGTCCTTAGCCTCTAGGAGATGTAATCATCACAGCTCATGTGAATGCTGCAGTTTTAATCCATTGTAGGTGCTTCTAACATTTCTAGCTGAGAGGCTGCTGTGCATCAGGGAATGCAGGAATCCTTGAGCCATGAAAAAATCCAATACATGAAAGGGTCAGTGGCCTTGGCTGAGTGATGGGCATGTTCCACTGGGACAGCTGGGGAGACCTGAGGTCTAAATCTACATAGGACTTGGGGTTGTTTCAACCTCAGATCTATAAATTGCTTTTACAGAAATACAGTGCTCATGCAAATCTATACGGTTAGGTGAAGGGCCTGTAGCTTGTGGTGCTGCATTTAGGTGCCTGTATTTCCCTCAGGTCTCTGTATTTTTATGAGTTGTCTTTTAAGTAGCTAGTCTTTGTAAGGTAAAGGTAGCTAGATTGAATTGTTTTTGTGTTTTTGATTTGCTGTATCTGAAGTATAAAAATAGCAGGTTAATAGTCATGTTTAAAATCCTTCCTATGAGAGTGCTGTAATGAAAGACTGGACATCTTTTCTGTATATATTAATGTTCTAGATCTGAAATGGCTTTATAGGCAGAATTTAAGGAAATAATTTTCCTGTCTACTAAGAGGGTACAAAGTAACACACAGAAACCAGCATTTCCCATCATTTTTAGGACTTTGAAATTGCAAATAAAAATAGAATGTTTTTTAAATTAAAGTGAAAAGATAATGTGAAGAAAATATCTTACCAATCTCTTTAGAGCAATGCAATTATTACTTAGATACCAACTGGAAAAACTCTTCCCCAAGTTTGTTTGTTTTAGTTTTTCTCGTCATTGTGCAGTGTCACATGTGCAGGGAAAGCTTACAAGAACAAGCAAATAGAAGCACTAATAAGGAACTAAAATACCAGATTTTTTTTTTTTTTTTTTTTTTTTTTTGTAATATGTCATTTGTTTGCTTTCTGTATTTCACAATAATATGCAGTGTGAGAATCCCAGTGTTATATTCAGTGTGGATCATTAACTTAAATCTGTGAAGATATGTACGCTTCTATCATTCAGTTACATGTGTAAAGTTATGAGTCCATTATACTTCTCAGTTTCTGAGGCTGTGAACTCAGAAAATAATTTCTTAAACTAAATGAAATGATATTGAAGTGTTTCCAGTCCAGATCTCGATATCTGTTTACATAGACCTCTACCTTGTGACTGGAAGGCTTTATTATTATATGAAGTAGAAGTGTGTGTTTTAATCAGGAAATGTTTATTCCAAAAGCTGCAAGTACTGGGACCAGTTCTGCTAAGCCCACTTCAGACAGGTGATCCTATTCAAGTAATTGATTATTCAAGAAATAAATTCTGTCAAAATCAGTGGAAATATTCTCAATGAAAAAATTTGCGCTTCTGTGAATGGGTTTTGGAAAAAAAGAGGTGGGGTTGACAAAGTCCTAAAACCGTACAGCTTTCTTCACTCCCACAGCCGTCCTGGTGCTCGCTATTGTTTTGCTGTTGCCATTTTGTTAGGTTCATATTTGATAACTAAAAAAAAATCTCACCTTCTCCTTTATTTTTTATTTTTTCACATATCTAAGCTTTCAATTGAAGTTTATTTTTTGCTATTATGTAAATAGCTTTGAAAACACAAACTGAATTGAAACGAACACCTGCTCAAGTCAGTAGACAACTATCCTGTGAATCATTTGAATCCTAACATTCTACCTCGCTTCAGTTGTTTTGAATTAACAATAAACTAAATCCCCCCACATACCAGATCCATTTTCTTCTCTGGCTTAAGCAATTTAAAAGCACAAATTAAAAACTGTATGAATTTCAGACTGCAGGTTTATGGGGTAAAAGTGTAAGCTGAACTTAATGTAGCAATGATAAATGCAGTTGAATGTCTACACGAACAGTCTCAGATCCTAAGAAAACAAAAGTTTACTTATTCCTTACAGCTCCAGTAGCACTGACCATTACTTATTTCAGCCAAATTAGTATCTTTGAGTCTGTGAAAAAGTGTCGGCGAGTTCTGTGAGATGAGGTGGTTCGCAGAGACTCAAACATCCTCTTTAATGGAAATGTTACAGAAATATCTCCATCACTTCATTTGGCACAAGGGACAGAGAGGGTGGGATGTGACACTACAGGTATGTGTGCTATGCACACAGTCAGAATATTCAGATATTCTGATACACGTGAATTGCGTAGGGCAGAAGGAGCCGACGTGATAGTTCTTTCCATACAGCTTATCCATGTTGCCATCTGCTGGTGATGCAAAGTAAGTGAGCATTTCAGAATCCTCACGTTTTCCTCTAGTGTTGAACAGAGATTTACTTCCATCTGCAGACAGTGCAAGCAACAAGTTTCTGAGTAGATCTGTTTCTCTTTAACTCAGGACAGAGACATTTAGCTTATTTGAAATTAACCATCTGCAGTTGTGAGAACGTCCCCGTGCATTTTTAAGATGCCCGTGCTTACCTCTCTACAATTCTTACACACAGAAATTAGTTAGAGATGGCCTTACAACCATTAATCTAATGGTATCACATGTCTTTTAGAACTATAACTTGGCACTGAAATACAGAAAATACAGGAAATTTTAGGTTATTTTGAGCAACTGTGAGTGAAAATGTTCAGATTTTGATATGTCTTTTAAGTTTACATTTCTGACTTATAGTTTACACATTTTTCTTTTTTTAATCATTAGGATAAAATTTTATTTACCAAAATGTTATAATCTAACACTTACGTCTTTTGAAGGACTTCCATTCTGTAAAAAAGTGAGCACTGTACCTTCAGGAAGTCATGATTTTCAGGACAGTTACCCAAGTAGGTTGCGAGTACCACTTTGGTGTTACTCTGCTAGAGAAATGTAATACTTAAATAAGTTGCTGCTTCTCCCAGGCAACAAACAGGACCTGGGGAAATGGCCAGAAGTTGTACCAGAGGAGGTTTAGGTTAAACATGAGGAAAAACTTTTTCTCTCAGAGAGTGGTAAGGCACTGGAATGGCTGCCCAGGGAGGTGGTGGAGTCGCCGTCCCTGGCAGTGTTCAAGAGGCGTCTGGATGAGGAGCTACAAGATATGATTCTGTTTGTGGCAGCAGTGGTAATGAGAAGACGGTTGGACTAGATGATCTTACAGGTTTCCAACCTTGTGATTCTATGATAAGAAAGTAAGCCATTATTGAGCAGGATTTGCAATCATTACAGAGGCAGTCATTCTAAATCTAATAAATTCTTGCTATATGCTTGGAATTTTAATACTTTAATAGTTTTGTTTGCATGTATGTTTAAATCATGAATAGAGAGTAGGGGGGAATTTAACCACAAGGGGATTTTTAAAAGAGCCAATTAAAATGGTTGCAGAAGAGCACGAATGTTTCCCTTTGGCTTTAAAGATGATGTCATACCTTAAGAACAGTTTCAGGCTAGTGCTGAAAAAATCTGTGGTAGCACTTTTCCTTTGTTCCCCCTTTCTGGCATCTCCCATCAGAAGGGGTGGGAGCATTGTGCCTTAAGATATGTCAGAGCTGGAGCTGTGTAAAAGCAGGCTTTTCTGAGTGTGGGACCCTCTTGCTAGTTCAAAACTGGAATGAGTTGTGCTTTGCAACTGTGCGAATTGAGCATGTTGATTCAGACACAGCAAGTTCCCAGAAAAATATTAGGTAAATTTCCACATACAATAATCATTTTCATTTATTTTTTCAAGATACTTTTTTTGCTTCCTAAACTAATCCTAGTCATTTGAAATTTATTACATGTCTTTTTATAATTTCTCTGAGGAAATGATATTAAAACATTATTAAGAGAATAATTTATTTTGATGTGATCTCTGCCAACTAATTCTTGGATAGCATCTCCATGCAGCATGCTCTTACACTTAAAGTTGAGCTATGAAACACTGTTGTGACATTCATAGCTGTAACAGTACTGTTATATACTCATAAATGTCACACAACACTGGGAAATGAGGATGGAAAACAAGGTGCTGAGCAGAGGTAAAAAGAAAGTAAAAAGCCATGAAAAATGGAATTACGGGGCTCTTAGAAACATGGCTTAAGCCTGGCTGTGTCTTTCAGCATAATTTCTTGTAGTGTGCAGTCATTCTGTACAGATGCCTGCCTTTGCTGATCCAGCTGAAGGCTGGGGCAAAAAGATTCCCACTCCTCTCGTTTGTTTTAATTTGTCCTCTGAGCAGGGTCTTGGAAACCATAAAAGAATGCTTTGTATGCACTTGTATTTGAAATAACAGTGTACCTACCTCCTGTTAAAATTTGTTCTAAAAATGCTACAAATTCTAAATTAAATTGGATGTATATTTTTAAATCAGAGGTCACCTTACAGACAGTGGTTGTGAGCCCGACTTTGCTTTCTTTTTTTTTTTTTTTTTTCCGCCAAGGAGAAGATGCAGAGCTTTTAGTTCACGTTTTCATATTTCAGAACAATTGGATGTTTATGTTTTGTTAGTATCTACACTCGTTTAGAGGGTTTCCAGTCTATAAACTGCCAGAAGATGAAATGGCAAACCAAATTTTTCTTGCAATAACAGTAATAAGTATTTGAAAGAGTGTGATCTCATTATTAGGGTGGTTTGTCACACAAATGTAATTAGTTCTTTTAAATCTATTAAACTCTTGAGTATTATACTAAACACAATGTTTATCTACATACAGAATATTTTTCACTTTAGTTGTTTGATATCATGATAACATTCAATCAGTAAGCACTTAAATTAGAGTTTATCATAGCTACAAAACTTTGCATCTCTGTGCAGTCTAATGAGCAATGTAAAAGTTCAGATTGAAGTGATCTAAGGGTCTCTTCTGCTGCTTAAGCCGTGGAACCAGTAGAAGTTTTACAATCATATTTTGGCATCTTGATTAAGTTGCTTAATTATGCTGTAGTATTATAGTCTAATAAAGACTTTTCATCTAGGACAAAAATGCGCTAGGATAACTGAATAATTCTTTGGGGAAATATATTTTTATTTATTTTGCTTGTCTGTCAGAGTATGTATTTTCTCCTTTCTAACTGTTTGATATTTTGTTAAAGTGAATGAATACTCAGCTGTTGTCGTTCCCAGATGTGGTCCAGCAAGTCCATTTAAAGGACAGCTAAGTACTAAAAGTAATGGTAAGTAACACACTTGCATTCATTAAAAATTTGACGAGGTTTCTCTATGTGAATTAATTGCATTCATGATCAAAATGCTGGAGCCACAAGTTGGACTTGATGATCCGCGTGGATCCCTTCTAACTCAGGACTCCATGAACCTTTGCACTGAGCTCTACTGGTGAAATTTAATAGTACTTACAATTGCTATACATTATTGAAAATATGTTGCCTGGACTGTTACGCTAGCTAGAAATAATTAGCAACATATCTGCATTAGCTGGAATATGTAGAATTAGAAGAACTGTTGAAGTTTAACCTGTTCCTTTGCATGCAGTTGCTGGGATGGGATAGGATATGTTTCTGTGCCACCTCAGACTCTTTTTGAAAGAGCATAGAATGGTTAAAAAGGAAATTTCCATGCTGATATTTTCCAACTTCAGCTACATCAGTAACTTTATCGGGCTGGGGGGAAAAAAAGAAAACAACAAAGGAGATAAGATAGTTTTGTGTTATACTGGCAGGTTAGGCAAACTGGCTTCCACTGAACAGACAAGCGCACAGTAATATTGTATTGAGTTTGTAAGTTCTGCCTTCTGCAAATAGTAAGTGTTCCAGAAACGTTGCTAAATGTAAGCTGGTGCTGTAGTGGGAGCACTAGGAAAAAATGACCTACTGCTCAGAGAAGTCATGGATGCTTCTCTGGAGATGTCAAGGCCAAGGTTGATGGATCCCTGGGCAGCCTGATTTAGTGCCTGATTTACCGGCTGGCAACCCTGTCTGTTGCAGGGGAGCTGGAACTAGATGATCTTTAAGGTCCCTTTCAGCCCCAAGCCATTCTATGATTCTATGAAAGCTTAAGTGGACATCTTTCAGAAGCATGATCATGGAACTAGCTCCTAGGAAAGCAGAGTTTCATCTCAATACTTGATAGAGGATAGAAGTTAAGAACAAAACCACTTTAATGTTCTTTTGGCTTTTATTTTCTACTGATCATATGTCCAGCTATTATTGGAAGTACTGGCTTTTAGATTTGAATTGCAGTCAATAACTTCAAGATTTGAATATTCTTTTACCTACCTTTATAATGTTAATTTTAATCATAATAGCTTTCTGCATCGACTCCTCCCGAAGCCTGACTAACCAGTACCTGATCAGAGATCACTTGATGTTTCATTATAACAGAATTCTTTCAGCCAAAGGTAAAAATTGCATATATAAATAATATAAATAATAATATATAAATAAATAATTTCCACTTTCAGATTTAGCTCATTTTTTTTTCAGAAAAGGCTCATATCAAAAGGGAATGAATTGGGTTGTTAGAAACCTGATTTTTTTTTTCTTTCCTGTTTCATGCTTGGAGTGATGTCAGTAAGAAGATACAGCTTTTATGTAATAATACTTGTGTGTTATTAGGATTAAAAGTTTTGCATGAAAACCTTTTCTCTGGAGTGCTACCAAAGTTACTTTATGTAAGGGTACTTTGTGCAATATTCTCTTCGTTCAGCAGTAGTGCTGTAATAAAATAGGATATGGAGATAACCTCAAGAGCAAACATTCCAAATTTATTTTAGAAATGATTACATAACATCTTCAGTTAAACTAAGAACACTGACTATTTTCTTTCCAAAGAATGATCTTTATCTTTTGTTCATGCTGCAGTCAGTTGCATTAGCAAGTTTTAAGGAGTTTGCATATTGTGTTGGATTTGCAAATGAGAATAGTGTGTTACTAATCTCTACTGTTGAGCACTAAAAATGTATATGAATATCTGGGCAGATTTTAATTGTAGAAGTAGTTAACATTTGTCAAAAGGCAAATGTGAAATCTGGAATGTAGGAGCCTGTTGAACTTATACATGTTTGTATGTTTTTTAATTATGTTGAGATACCAATTTTTTTTCAGATTTAGAAATGTGTATTTATTCCTATATGAGCTGGCAGTATCCCATTGTTAATGCTACAACTGAAAGCAATCTATTATTGCTAAAATTATTATTTTTAAGGAGTGTGAATTGTTGTTCAAGTTAATATCATGTACAGGGCTAGGAGATGTCTGTACATAGCTGTTAATATTGTTTTTTTTTTATTTTTCATTGCATAAACTTGTTGTGGGGATTTAAGTACAAGAGATATTAATGCTAGGGCTTGGCAGAATGTGCTGAGTGTTTAAGGTTTCTGAATACCTCCCAAAACATTATGTACTTTCTTTCAAGCTATTTTCAGAAACAGGGTTTTGGATGTGGTTATGCTAATTTTCCTATCATTTCTCCATTTCTTAATGTACTTTAAAATAGTGAAAAATATGCTTTATTCTAATTAAATGAGCATATGTTCTGTTTTATTATTACATTTTTTTCTAGCCATGACAAATACTAATACTGAATTGCATCTATTTTTTTCCTATTTTTAGCAGCTGTAGACTGTTCAGTGCCCAGAAGTAGGTTGAGCAGCATTAAACGTAAGTATCTGAGAAGTATCTTTTTTTTGCAAAAGCTTCTGTAAAACTAACCTAACAAAGCAAATGCCAGATGAATAGGAAAATGACCACTAATAAAGCATATGTCTATCTGCTTGTTTCTTCAGCTTTTCTTATTCTGCTCATATCTATTGATAAGATCCTGCAGTGAATGTAATATTAGTGAGATGGACGTAGTCCATCAGTGATTAATTAATTCGACTTAAGATCATAACTAAGATTAGGTTCCTTTTCTGCATGGTCAATGCAGCAGAAGAGGAGAAATGCAGTAATTTCTCTCTGATTTCTTGTGATATGATGTAAGCTTGGACTTTCATGAGGAGGGCTTATGAGTACCATGTTAAGAGGAATTTTAGGAATGTGGGCATATGGGAACTGGGACTAAAATTTGCTGTTCCTTTTGACAGAAAGTACAGCAGTCACAAATGCCCATCACAGCAGCCTAAATGTAGTTACTTTTCCCAAGAGTTGTTCCATTTCTTAATGCTGATGAAATGTGTCAGTACTGTAGCTTTTCTTTACGGTTTTAGCTGAAGAGCAATACTTTCAAGTCACTGACTTAAGGAATACTAAATGAATCATCAAAAGAAAGGGTGAATAGCAGCTGTTGGTTAAAATAACAAAGATGTATTTCTGTTATCTGATATCTTTTTTTCTAATCCAATTGGAGAAAGTTCTTTTTCTCCAATTCAGTATTCAGTTACCACTGCAGAGATGCTGGAAAAAATTTAAAGCATTTATTTGGGATAAAAAGATAAATCTTTTCTGTGTAGCATACTTTGTTAGTCTCAAATCCAGACAAGCCAAAGTGATAATACCTTACTAAATGATTAGAGTAACCAGAGCTTATGTAGAAAATCACTCTTCCTTTTGGCAAAAAGACGTTAGCATTTTCTTAGATTTTTTTCCATTGCTTCTGCTTAAGGAGTTGAGAGTGAATAAGGCAACAGGCTGCTTTCAAAAAGTGCAGCACAATTAGGAACAGTGTTACAAGGCTATCTATAGTTTACAAATTGAGATAGGAATTTCAGATCATCTGTTCTGCAGAATTATTTGAAAAAAAACCTTCCTTCCCAACATCCAGCTACACCAAAACTTGCTTTGAAATGGGCAAGAAAAAACAAGGCTGGTGCAAGAAAAAAAGAATTTACACCTGTGTGTTTGTCTAGTAAAATCCTTCTGTTTTTCTTTTTGGAATTGCTAGAATGTTTCCTTGATTCCCTAACTATTACTCTTCCATACCTTTTCAGGTGTTAGGTCTTTCTAAACACTAGCAAATGCCTGATAGTTTTAGTCTGTTGCCTTTACAGATAAAATGCTCCTGAGCTTGTGTGTTTCACACCAGCATGAGTTTCACAGAATGAATTCATTTCGGAAGATAACTACCCAGCTTTAACAGATAATTGTTACAACAGTAATAGGTGTGCTCTGTAGTGAAGAAATTTCCATTTTAGGTAGTAGGCTTTTGCAGTATGTTTCAGTTCATCTTAGACTAGAGTCTGACTATGTAACTGTCCTAATAACAGACAGAATATTTATCTCTTATACAGAGTGTGATGGAAACTTTTCACCTTTGTTGCCATCTGTTCAATAGGTGCATTAAATTTCATTAACTTGCTCTTTCACCTATTTTCAAACTGCACTAGAAAAAGCTGCTGATGTTTTTTACCTTATTAGAACATGGTTGCAACTAAGACAGTTCTAGACTTTTTTTCTTACCTGTCTTCTTAATATGTTTTCTCATCTGTCTGAGATCACTTTTTATAAGCAGACATAGGCTGAAGTTTCAGCAGACTTAGCAAAAGTGTAGTCTGTGGGGGCACATCTACTTTCATTTTCTTGATTAGTGGTCTCATAGTCTTCAAGATAGTTAAGGTACTCAGACTTTCCTTGGCCGGTATCTGCACTGACTTTAAAAACTCCTGGTGTTCAGAATGAAATTGAAAACTATTTAAATTAATTTTGTACCTGAGATTAGAGTGCTTGTCGTCATCTTTTTTTTTTTTCCCCTACTGTTATAAGCACTGTTTATGAAGAACTGTAGATTTCAGTGCTATATTAATAGTGCAGCCAAGTATTAAGTGTCCAGATGTTAAGCTCAATGCTAGGTATCGTTTATTGTTTCTCTGGTAATCAACCAAACATAAGTTTTATCCCCTTTATCGAAGGAGATACTACAAAACTTACTGTGGAGATGACAGCTAGCACTCAGGTAGTAGTACTGAAAATAGAGCTATTGAAAATCTGTTCATGAATGAAGTACACAACAGGATTTGAAGAATATTTTCAAACCAATGTATATTTTTTCTTACTGGAAAAGGGACACACCAGTCTCAGATACAACATCAGTGTGACTGTCTATCAGCCATACTGGTAGATAGTGTCACTTGGATCAAGGAGTTTACAGCTTTATTCTTCATGTAATTCTGTGCCTATCATTGCCTCAAGTGAAGCATATTGCCACTTTTCTCTTTTAAAAAAATTAGGGAAGGGGAATAAGTTTTCAGTTTGAAATGTTTAGATCTATTAATAGCATAGAGTTGCAAAACAGAATTCCTGAAGATAGTGTTAAAAAAAAGCCCCTAAAAATATGCATCATATATAGCTAAAATAGCAGGTGAGTATTTCCCTTCGGGGTTGTTGCCATGAATCAGTCGTTAGTGTTTAAGAATTAAACATGATACTGTAGCTGGCATGCTCCCTGGACAACTAAATGTGTACTGTCCTTAAAGTGGCTTTAGTTTCCACTGTTCTTTTCCTGGTATCTTAGCTGGCAGCAAAAAAGGCAAGCTGCCATGCAACTGAGCTCGCAGCAAACATGTTCCTGTGTATTAGATCAGCCTTATTGACTTAAAATAGTTGTTAAAATGTGAAACTTATTGAAATGTGAAACTTCTATGTTCAGAATTAGTCCAAGCATGTTGATTGATACCGGTGGCCATTAGAGGCCTGTGGTTGTGGAATTTGTGCCAGAAAAGTTGATATAAGCTATGCCAAGTAAGACAGCTGCTGCTACACATGCCTGGTTCCTAACAGTCCTGTCTTTTCAACCCATATGTTTAGAGGTTTTTCCACAAGTATATTGATAGCACAGCCTGAACCCAGTGATTAGTGTGCTTGAAATGCAAGTCTCTTTGATGAAAGGGGGGGAAAAAAAGAAAGAAAGAAAGAAAAAGAAGGGAAAGTATTCTGAGATGTTTCCACCAGGAATCAAAATCTATTTTTTAACACTGATGGAGCTTGAATATTTGCAGGGAGCAAGAAAACAATTCAGTCTGATCAATAATGTTGGCTTTTTGTTTGTTTGTTTTTACTTTTGCGAGGTTTGGATTAATGTAGAAATACCAATAAATGTATATTCTTCTATAATTCTCTATTTGAATTTTTCCTAGATTACATACATGTTTTGCATTGTCTTTGTCTACCCTTCACACTGTGGAAGGCCAGGTATCCTGTTCCTGTTTTACAGGAAGCTTTCACAAAATGTCTCATTTTCGATTCTTAACTTTTCTGTTTTGTCTTCTCCTTACATAATGTATTTCTGAAAATGAAAGCTAAAAGCAACTTAAATAAGTCATTTAAAATGAAACACTCAAATAGCTCTAACATTTGCGTTATCAGAGTTCAAATGTGCTTTTAGAAAGGTATTCTGACACATTTTTCAAGTCTGAAATTTTGGAGAGTGGGGAAATGCAGTGTCTTTATCAATCAATACTTGCAGCTTTAGGAATTTATTTTTATTTTTACAAGTTATTTACTTAAAATATCTCCTACTGAAAGATTTTTTTTTAAGAGGGAGAATTCATTTTGAAATGTATATTCAGTACATCAAAAAGTGCATTTTTCTCATAGTTTGTGGTTGCAAAATGACAGTAGATCATCTAATCTGCCTTAGAGTTAAGCAGACTAAAAATATAATCCAGTTTTGCTAATACTGAGCTTAACAGCCATAATGAATATAGTGAATAAAGCGCACAAACAAGAAGGGCCTGCTGTCTTGACCTGTAAAGATCAAGAAATAGAGGAAAACATGCTTTTCTTTTGTTGTTGTACCAGCACTTAGTCATGATGATTACTGAAAATGTGTCCCTGGTACGTGATTGAATTTACCCAGCTTTAACGTCTGTCCGTTGTTAGAGCATCAGAGGGCAGTGGAGGGATTGTTGTTACACCTTTTTCTGCTGTTAATCAGGAGCACAAAGTAAGTAGCATACCTGAGAGAATGAGAATAAAATTGTTTTTTGCTTATGCAAACTGTGCTAGTGATATTATGAGATAAAATCCTCTAAGCCTGTCTGACTTGTTTCTAGAATTCATGATTTGACTTCTGAGTAGGCTTGGATGTACCTTAAGATTGGGAGCAGCATTTTTCTCAGTTTCAGTGTGCACAGGCTGCTGTACTCTTCATCCCACCAACAGGAGTATCTATGAGATGCTGTATAAAGACCCTATATGGATCAGAGGTGGATGGATTTGGAATAACACTGTGCTTCTAGCCTCTCTGAAATTCTTCTGATGTATTCAAGTCTCACTGTTAGGCTTTACTTGGAAGCTTTAACAATGGCCAAATTCTGCTATTAGCAGCTATGCTAAGCAGTATCATGTTTTTTTAAGTAGATCACCTGATGCAAATGTTATTATTCTGAGTAACATTCTATTTGATATAAGCAAGGCTATAGATATCAAGCCCTTAACAAATCCTTTATCATCTTTCCTCATTGTGATTTCTCCTTTATTTGATAAAACAGTGTTACTGATACTGGATATGTAGAAGGACTGCAGAATCATAGAGTTGTGAAAATTAAAATTTGTGTTATGAAATTTAAAAATGTAAAATTGTGAACCTCGTACCAATGGCAAAACTCAGTTTGAATTTGATGAGAACTCACCCCAGTTGCATAAATCATGATGCCGTGGGGATTTCTGCTGTTAGGAAGGTAATGGTAAAAATGCTTATGGAAGGAAGAACTTGCTTGTAGCAGTAATATTACCTGATGATACACTGCATATTTTTATTATGATCACTGGAAGCTCAGCAAAAAATGAGGTTGATGTTTGCACTATTGATCTAGGAGAATTTATGGGGGTGAAACATAAGCAGAAGTGGGTTTTTATAAAATCAGTTGATAAAAAGACATTGGAGGAATTCTCAATGCTGGACAATTCTTTTGAGATACCTCATTCAATGACCTAATCAATTTAAGGCTAACATAATACTTAATTGTTTGCCTTGGCTTACTTACATCAATAATGAAATGACTTGAAGGTTAAATCTGTAAAGTGTACTGTAATGTGATGTGATAAATTTAGAGATCAGAAATTTGGAGTGAAGGACAATCACTTGCATTCCAAATCATAGTATTCTTTTAAACAGAGAGCTTTCTAGCTGCTTAGGAATGTGATAGATATGATTTTTTTTTCCTTTCACTTTTTTTATTATTTAGTTTTATAATTCCAAGCATGTATCTAGGAACACTGCTGAAGCCAAGTTTTAAGGAAGAAAGAATCAAATCTGTAGAAGACTAGCAGAGAACTCTAGCAGAGAAATAAAACAGTCTGATCTCCACTTTCTAAGTGTAGTGTAAACTTTGTGAGAACGATATTTGCCTCAGCAAAAGTGTTTAGTTCTGTGAGAGTCTGATCAGAGTTTTATAGTTAGCTCTTTACAGAGAATACTACACTTTAACCTCTAAAATTTATAGTCTTTCTTATGCCTACTCTCACCACTGGCAGAATTGAGATAACAGATTCATGGAGTGGGTAGAATAAGTTATGGAATTTATTTAGCTTTGCAGACTGAATTTATCAGATATACAAAAATTACTACTTTGTTTATCATCTAATACACTGTCTCTTTATTATGCTGTAAATCTTTGTCATGGTTTAAGCACAGCAGTTAATGAGATACATTAATCTCAAAGTCTTCTACAAGGCTTAAAAAGAAACTCATGTTATTTGGGTATATAGATGGGATTTTTAATACTTAAATACTCAGTGTACCCTTTTTAAAGAGATGAAGAACTTGTTTATTAACAAGTTCAGTTGATATTTACTTTCTGCTACTCTGTGGCATTATTCCAAAGGCATCCTGTGAAATTTGAATTGTTAACTTCACTGAAAACTAAAGAAGTTATGACTGTAATTGATTTGAAACAGAAGCTATCTAGAACAGTGTTGAACCTTTTTCAGTTTTTAACAGATACATCTCCTTTTCAAAACTGTGCATTTGTTCCTGAATACTGCTCTCATTCTTTCTGTGTATCATATACGCACAGATGCAGGACAAGTCATTGTGTATGGCAGTCTGGAGTATCTTCAGCTTCTGTCAGTTGTAATGTTATTTGTAATTAGTGCCTCAAATGCTCAGGCACTTTGTAAAATACCATTTTCTGTTCAGCAAACAAAGTCTGGATTCCGCAGTCCTTGCTTGGAGAAACGATGTGTAAAGTAAGTGTAGGCTGGCAGCATGCATTTTTTGGATCCATACCCTTGTTGGTCTGCCTCAGAGCTGTCCTAACTTACATCTAGTTGTCTGTTTGCGTCTACGTTAACTCTATTCAAGAAGGATTTCTTTGTCTCTGAATTTGCTGGTTTTACAATTTCCAGCTTTTACAGCAGATCTACACTGAGACCTCCTTAATTTGGCAATGTGGTAGTGGGTACTCTGCTAGGATTTTCTGCCATTCTATTCTGCATGTGTGTGCTCTGATTTGTAGTATGCATGAATGACTTTATAGCTTTTGGAACACACTTGATGGATTAGCTGAGATAAGCTCATTGGTGTGAGGCAAGGGCTTTACATTTCCCATCTAGGTGACAGTAGTCCCAGTGGGTCATTCTGACAACCAAAGATAGCCTTAGCATCCTGGCATGCTTACTGTTCTTTCTTTCTTTACTCTTGACTTGGGCACAAGCCATATTTTGGCTGAGAGAAGTCACAGCACACAGTCCTGGAGGAGATCTGTAGAAGGAGGCTTTTATAGTTTTGAACTCCAGTTGTAAAGACCAAATCTGCCCATGTGTGTGAAATCTCAAACCTTGTTCTGTGAAGAGTGGCAAAGGGACAACAAAATATCTCATTTTTTTGTTAATATTCACACTGCTTCATGCTTTGCCAAGAAACTCCCAGTAAGGCACAGTATGCAGTCTGAACACGCAGTAAGAGGTTTAAGCATGTATTTTCTAAGACAAGCCCACTTTCCTTCTAAGCACTTAAGTGTAAAGAAATTATTTTTCATTCAGCTATCTACTTGTACTTACAAAATGAGACACCTGTAATTCTGATTTGCATTCTTGCTTTGTAGAGCTCTGTCACTCATTCATTCATTGTTTCCTAAGATACTTATTCAATACTGATGCACCGTTCTGTCTGAGAAGTAGGCAAGACTTCAGTTTATACAGCTTTCATTTGTGTGCATATACTCTGGTAGACCAGCATAATTATCTGAGCATATTAAACTTTTCACATGTAGATAATTTTTGAGTGCCCTTCTGTAGCTTTTAAGACAAATAGAATTAGAAATAATAATAATTTAGAATAGCCACATGATAACAGTTTAGTGTAGGAAGATAAATAATGAGTTTTGATTATTTAATGCTTAATTCAGTTATAATTCATATTTTTAATTCAGATTTGTATAATTTAGCATATCTTAACTTCAGCTAATGGCTTCCCAGTAATAAAAGCAACTTTGTTTTGGAAGTACTTTAATGGAATATGCTGAACAAATCAGCAAATGTAAAAGAAATTACTTTGTATTTTACTTACCAATTGTAAGAACTGAAAGAGAAAGGGATTTCCTCCAGGAGTGAGTGCAATAGTTTTATATCTGGAAAAATCACTTGTAGCTTAAGAGGGGACTAAAATGTTTAACAAAATTAATATATGCAGTTAACTGAGTCCTAGAGACTCAGTCTCTCAGGTTAATGTTCATAGATGTATGTATTTTAAAAGATGATTATATTTCCCCAGATTGCTGTAGTTCTCAGCTGTCTAGAAGAATGTATGACATCAATCCACGGAGTGCATTTCCATATACTAAGTGTTTTAATCTGTGTGAAGGTTGGGGTCTACTGGAGTATGATATAAATACATTTTGAAAGTGAAGAAGAAATATGCAAAGGCCTTTCTGTGCATCTGTCTCAAACAAACCATTCATATGTTCAAAAAAGACAGGGATCTCCTAGAAAGAGTCTAGGGGAGGGCCACAAAGATGATGAAGGGCCTGGAGCATCTTTGATATGAGAAAAGGCTGAGTAACCTGTGTCTGTTCAGCCTGGGGAAAAGAAGACTGAAGGGGGATCTGGTAAATGTTTATAAATTTCTAAAGGGAGGTGGGATGTGAATGGATGAGGCCAGGCTCTTCCTGCTGGTGTGTAGCAAGTGACAGGACAACAAGTTATGGAAGTCAAGGAAGTTCCATACAAACATGCAGAAGAACTTTACAGTAAGGATGATGGAGCACTGGAACAGGATTCCCACCTGGACTCCACACCAGGAGGTTGTGGAGTCTCCTTCTCTGTAGATATTCAAGACCCATCTAGACACTTACTCATGTGATCTATTTTGGGGAACCTGCCTTAGAAGGGGGGTTGGACTCAATTATTGACATCCCTTCTGATCCCTACAATTCTGTGATACATCTGAGTCTGTATTAAATGAATGAGAATTGTAGTCAAGAGTTAAGCAGGTCCCATTGTGTATTCAGGCTTCCAAATTATTCTTATTTGTATAAAGCCTTCATTCATATTTGAGAACGAAATTATTCATGTTTTTGATCAGTTTTAGCTAGATTTTTTAATTTTGTGAACTTTGTCATCTGTGGCACATAGGTGCTCATAATATAAAAAAATCCTTTCTACTATCTAAGATAACAGATGTAGGTGATAGCAAACTCAAACATAGATCATACCCCAACAATAGTTTCTCCTCCTGATCAGGCAGTGTCCCTTTCACACAGTTTGCCTTCATTGTTTGTACTCTTGAAATGAATGTACTGTTTTGCAGAGGATTTCTGTATTTGGGAGATTATTTTTACATAAGTTGAACATGGATTTTTGTATACTGCAAATTTGCTAGCCAGCAAACATGTTGTTTCTTGCTGAAATATTGGATGAGAGTACAGTTAGAGAAGATTTATCCATAAAAGTTTAAGAGCAAATTTGTGAGTTTTCAAGCAGGATGTTCTGATAGCATTGCTGATCTTGGAATTAGTGCACAATCTTGTGCTACTTGTGAGATCTGAGAATACGCAAGAGAAGCTTCAGCTACTAGCATACTCTAGTGTTAATTTTCTTCTAAAAATAGAGGTAATTTTTCATAATTCCTGAGTAGAGTGGAGCCTGTCTTTATCGTCTCGCTTTGCTGAACATCTGGGAAACCCTTTGATATTTTCAAATAACTTAGGACAAAAAGAGAGTCCAAGATTTCAGATTGGATCTGACCAACTTTGTCTCTTTCCTAAGTTGCTGACCAACAGAGAAGAGAGAAACTGAAAAAGAAGATAGCCAGGTATGAAAAAGAAATGAGTGTGGGCAAAAGTGCCTCACGATCCAGCTCAAGAGAAAGTGGAAAGCTGCTGTCAACCTGTTTTGGAAAGGTAGATATTTTAATTTTGTTTAGTAGATATCATAATTAGCTTGCTTCCCCTAATAACAGCTGATCACCAATGCAGCAGTAGTTCTAGAAGGAGGACTAGTATATTTCTAACAACAGAATATAAGACAACTGTCTTCCTGGTATGCACCCAACCCTGTCTCAGCCTTCTGATAAAGGTGGGCAGGTATGTGGATAAAGCGTACTTGTGTTAAATCCAAATTGTAGTTACCCTTGAATTCTCTCTGTATCATCTCAGGTCAAATCTCCATGTCTTCTCTCTGTCGCTGAAATTGAAAATAGTATTTAAGCTGTCCAAACGAGTGTAGATGAGTACTCTTCTGTCAGTATATATAGGTTCAATTATTTTGACTGGAATTTTGCCCAGTTATATAGTGTGTGTTCCCAAATAATAAGTAGCCTAATAAACTATAAAATATTATTCATTCCTGTACAAGAGCAATTACAGCAATTTGCAACTTAAAAAAAGAATGCTATTTTAACTTCGTTGATTTTGGTGCCAAGTGCATCATTCATATGTTTGTTTTTGGCAGTGGGCAGTCTGAGTATGACCTTATTGTACTGAGACATAATGCTCTGAAATTCAGTACATGGCTCTTAGTTATGGATGAAATCACAGGCATGAGTAAGAAAAGGGAGAAAGTGTCATATTTAAAATCCAGGTGTTATCTTTTGTTGATAATATTTTTGTCCTTCTGCGCTCTTTGCTGCATACTGAGTGGTAGATTATTTCCTTTAATTATTTCACAGCAAAAACAAGTAAAGGGGGCTTAAAATCTCTTATTGCTGTATAAATTATCATTTCTAAGCAAAAGGATGTGTGGTCTTTAATACATCATTATGAGATTGTCACTCTCCCTTTGCTTTAATCACGTTCAAAACAAAGTCTACCTACTAGAATTTCTCAGTTCTACTAATTAATTACAGATGCTTTCCGATCAAAAGTTGTCCTGAAAGTGTAGTTTTTATCGTGCCAAGAGTAACTGCAGTTTTCCTTTTGTTTGGTAGCCTCAGGATGTAAATCAACAAAAAATTCTGAGTCTGGACTTGAATGTATCAATTAGAATATCAATTTAAAGATACATTTTTTTTTTTTTTTTTTGAGTTTGCCAAATTAGCGTTTAACAACACTTAATTTGACAAAATTTGCATTGGTTTCCTATGCTTGTTTATACACCAAGGAAGGATTAAATGTTCTCTAATGCATTGTTAAGATAACTTAGCCATTCTAATTGTATTTCTCCAGCTATCAGAATAGGCGATACTAAGTTTCTAAGTTACTAAGTGGTAAATTCTAAGGATACCTATGATAACATAGAGAGGTTTTTTTTGCCATTTATTAATCCTATTACTACATTATCTGTTGCCACTAGGAAACTAAGATTCTACTAAACATCATTCATTTGTGGAACTACATGAAAAAATTGTGTTGTTAAATTAGGATATTCCTGAGTTGGGATGAGATTCAGAAAAAAATTGAAACAGTGAATTTTGGAGGTAGTTGTAAGTAATAGCAAAAAGTAGAAGCACTTTATAATGTAGCTGGTGGGGAAAAAAGGGACAAGAAGAGCTCTCCAGGCTTTGCCAACACTATGTTTAAATATGAGAATACAAAATTTAGAGATGTGACTTTTCTAATGCATGATTTATTGACTGATAAAACATGACTATCATATATATTGAGTTAAGAGTAACATACAATTGCAGTAAAACTTATAGCTCTGACCAGGTCAATGTCTGAATAGATTCTAGGCTTAATATGGGCTAGTCAGTTTTGTTTTACACACCTGACTTTTTATTTTCATTACCAATCATTTATTATGCTTTCTGGTAAGTCTGCTGCCTTTATTTCATCATTCTTCATTTTTTCCATAGCTGCATTTATTATTATTTAATGTTGTACTAGAGCAGAGAAACTATTTTAAATTGAGCCTATGCTTTGTGCATGGTAAAAACAGAAAGAACTAAAAATTATTCCTCTAAGATGTAGAGATTATAAGAAATTCTTAACTTACTATGTGATTTAGTCAATGTATTTTATTATACACTGAACAGAGTATGAAACTGAATATCTATAACGTGCCATGAATTTGACTAGTCATCTTTTTCACTGTTTTATGCAAGGATTTGAATGCATAAGAACAGTAAATTCTTCATTTAATATCTAGTTATAAATGTAAAGTTACTGTAATGTGAGAATCTACGGTGACATGAAATTAACTGAGAAAGTTATTGCTGTTGCGGTGACCTAAGTTTCATTACTGAGTTTTATTAAAATCATAGATTATCTTTAAAGGAGAGTATTTAGATCACTAAGTTGACAACGTGGGCTAAGGTGTGATAGATGGTTATGCTGCATCATGCATTTCTGTGCTTTTAGCAGAGACTCAACTGTGAGAGGCTGAGGAGCCAGTTGATTTTCAAAATGCACAGTGGGGCAGCCTTTAGATGGGATCGCTCTCAATTAAGGTGCTTCAAAGACAGTCATTTCTCTCACAGTCAAACAGAGGAGCAAGGAAAGCATAAGATGTACAGGACACTGCTATACTTCTCTTTTCTCTTTCCATGCTACTTAATGTTGATGATTGATGTCATGTGTGAATGTTTATCAAAACAGTATGATAAGCTAAAAAATTTGGATGCTGAAAGACCTGGTAACTTTGTGTGTCTTTGCAGATAGATAATTTAAAGTGAGAATTTTGAGTCTCCAAATCTTGAGGATTAATAAGCAGCACACCTGTGGGCATCCAGACATTTATCTATCACCAAATTAAGTACATACACTCAGTCTTAAGTTAATTACTTGAAGTGATTTTCTTACAATAGAAAGGGCTTTTTGATGCAGTCTGGCAAATGTCATGTTCAGTGAGTGAAACTGTGTGAAGCTCAATATGACTTAATTATGAAGCAAGAAAATCTGAAATGAGTTTCCCATGAGTAAAATCTCTAATTTGAGCAAGACTTGCTGTTTCATATTCCATGTTTAGTTAATCCTTTTAATAGGCATTTCTGACTGCTAAATATTTTTAAAAGAAATTACTCCATACCAAATGTCAGTTGAAGGGATTTTAGCCATTTTAAATGAGTTGTAATTGCCTTTGGAACGTGAAGGACTGCTTCACATTTCAAGATGGCTTTCAGTCCAATTTTTGAGACTTTGATTTCTTAAGAATGACAGGTATGACCTTTTTACATGCTTGTGTATATGAAAAATAGATTAGGAAACACCATTAACAGTTTATAATATCTATTAATTTTTTATGCAGTGCACATGCATGGCTATGTGAGTTACCTCCTCAAATGCTTTGTGTTTAAAGATTTATTACACTGTTATGATGAGTCTGAAGAAGCATCATGCTTGAATTAGTTCCTGTCAGAATGATATATGTGAGCAACTAAAAGAGAACAGAAGAACCTTCTGAATATCATAAGATGTTTTCATCAGGAATGTTCAATACATTCTATATCCTACATTCGATGTTCTATACTATTTCTTTTCTGGCTTCATAACAGCAACCACCTCCCATATTGATTGTTTGAATAAATGTGTTTCCATATGTACATTCAGTAATTTCCATTCTTAGTAACATCAGGCTTCTTGATGGAAGCAGTGATGTATCACAGTATACAACTCAATAATACATTCACATGCATATAGAAAATGTAACAGGAGTGTAGTTTAGAATGAGAAAAAATGGTTATTATTGATGCCAGTATGCAGACTGATTGTATTCATTCAGATCTTACTTGTTCCCAGGCTTGTGTGAATTTTCTCTCTTAATTTTCTCAATCTTTAAATAAATATGAAAGTGTATAAGGAAAGGAACAGGTGATGTACGGGGAGGGTTGTGACACTAACAAATATAAAGAAGGTTAAGAAAATTAGTCACTTAATAAATGAAACCATTTACTCTGTCTGAGGAGCAGAGAGCAGGAATTCAGTTGACTTGCAGCAGTAGTAGTGGCTTACAAATTGAGCTGTGTCAAGTTATAAGAATCAGATGTTCATTTATTACCAAATTGCAGTTTCAGTATCTTGACAATACAGATGATAAGGTATGATTAACATATTTACTTACAATTGACTTTTCTAAAACATAGACAAATTACAAACCGCATTATCCTGCATTCCTTCAAATCTTTTTGAAGTCAGCCACATAGTTCCTTGTTCCTGATACTGTTTCTCTGTATATCCAGAGGCTTTGTTCCCTTTCTGTTTGAGCGATAAAGGTTTAGCCTAGGATGAGGGGTTCAAAACACGTTATCTTTCTCAGTCTTGAATGAATATAACTCAAGATTGACACAGGTAGGGTTTGTGGATCTACTTAGCTAGTCACTATGTCTGTTCTGCTTATGATATATTTTAGAAGAGAGGAATTTCCTAAACTTCCTCAAAAATAAGGAAAGCTTATAGTATATTGCCATGTTTACTCTATTCTTTTGTTTTAGGATCAATTCAACTAGATCCACAAAACAGATCATGTGGCTTTCATGAGTAGTAGTTCTCATTAGTATGTTTCGTTCTGTTTTTTGGCTGTTTCTTTTTTTTCCTATATGATGAGGCAGCAGTCATCATCCCCTGTTAACAAATGCTTCTACAGTCTGATCTATTTTGCAGCTCGTCACTGAGAGTAAAAAGTATACAACCAAAAAAAGCTGTTTATAATACATATGGAAAGGTGTGGAATTAACTTTGCAAAATAAATATCTCTATAGGTGGATTCTGGAACTTTCCAGTCTTATCTGTTTTCTATAGTGCCGAGCTACCACTGCAACTATTTTATATGCAAACAATCACTCTGGTAAGCCTTAATTGTACTGCTTGCTAACACAGGCATTTGTTTGGCATTGTTACTGCATGTTATCAATTCAGCATTTAATTTTGCTGTAGTGGTAAAATTAAGTTGGCAAATGTGAGACACCATCAAGAAGGGCATTTTTGGCTCAGCTAACTAAAAACAAAATCACCTCTTTGCATCAGTGGTTGTGCAAATACTGGGGGTACTGGAACAGATCATTCTACTGATTTGGGAGGAAGTTGTGTGGAATTGTGAAGAAAATAAACAGCACGTGTGTTCTGATTTAATGTTGATGATTAGCTACGTTTTTTAACATTCCTTTTAAATAGCTTTTACTGCATACTATAAAGTATGTATTGATTGAGTTTTAATTTAAAATACAAAGCAGTTCTAAAAGGTAAAAACTGAAATAGTGTAGGTTCAAAGCATAACAGTAGCAGTTATGCAGAAATCCAACATTTTCACAGTAAAAGTCATTACTTGGGTGTTCTTTAGAAGCTTTATTGTAGAAATTGAATGGTAGAATAGAAATTCTATGCATTTATGATCACCAAACATTACACAGGTTAATCTATCATACATTACTATATATTACCAAGCTACAGTGTCATGAGTTTACAACAAACATACAAAAATTTCCAAGTATCTTTACTTTTCCCACAGCACACCTACATGCTCAAAGTATAAGGCTTCAGAAGTCACACAGCAGCTATTATCTTGCAAAATTCCTATCATTTATTCAGATGGGAGGCATATCAGCAAGTTAATTTCTGTATTAGCCTATCTGAACTTGAACTTCAGGTCTGTTAAAAATGTGTTCCCTCACTGGCCTTAGAAATCGAATTGTCACATGAAACATCTCTATTTGTATATGTCCATTTAAATCTTGCAGAATTTACTGATGCAGTTGCTGTGTAGCTACGCAAACTGACTGTAAGGAACAGTAATATCTGACTATTTAATTAGACATGAACTGAAACGATTTAAGTTTGTAGTTGTTGGCTTTGAAGTGGGCTTTGTCAGATGTTATTCTATTCTAGCTGTTATTTTGTCTTGTATTATATGGCTTGCATAGTATAACCTTAAGATTTGTCACACTCTGCTCTGCCTTTTGCAGCCTCACCTCAAGCACTTTGCAGTTTTGGGCTCCACAATATAAGAAAGACATAAAACCATTAAAGAGATTCTAAAGTAGGACTACAGAGATGGTGTAGTATCTGGTGGACAAAAGCTATGAGGGCAACTTTGGGCTCTTGGTTTGTTTAGCCCAGAGCAGAGCAGGCTAAGGGGAGGCCAGTAAGCTCCTTACAGGGGAGCAGTGCTGAGCTTTGCTCTCTGGTGACAGTGACAGGACCTAAGGGAATGGCATAGAGCTGTGTCATGGGAGGGATGGTTTGGTTCTTTACCAGAGGGTGGTTGGGCACTGGAACAGTCTCCTCCAAGCAGTAGAGACAGCACTAAGCTGCCAGAGATTATGGAGCATTTGGATGCTCTCAGCCATAGGATTTGATTTTTGGGTAGTCCTGGGTGTAGTTAGGAATTAGACTCAGTGATCCTTGTGGGCCCCATCCAACTCAGGATTCTTATGCCTGCCATTAGCATGATGTTTCTCCTAAGAATCAACACAACAAAAATTTAAATTGTTGGAAAGTTTTTTGCAGCCCTACCAAGGATGTGCATCTTGCACCCAGAGTTGAAAGAGAAAGCCTATATAGAGAATAAGCAGCTAGTTCCAATTTCCTTACTCTGTATCTTAAAGCACATTACAGTAGTTTCCTTTTCAATCTAAGATGAATCAATGAGTGGTGCCCCTTGCAGAATGTATATTTTATAAAGATAGCTGCTGTGTGATAAATCTTGAATCTAATAGTATTTGGAGAGAGAGGCAACAAATCCACATGTGAAGAGAATCTAGGTAGTGCCGTCAGGATAATTGTGGATAATATCTATTTACCTTACTTTGTCTGGGCAGAACTAACAGAGCACACCCAGATAAAATCATTTGTCTCAATTCAATGATTATTAGCTCCTTGACTTTTAAAAATATTCTGTGGTTTTGATCTAAAATAAGGTAATGTCAATCTTTTCCCATCTGGATGTCAGTGCTTGTTAATGCTGGAGCTGCTCTGAAACCAGTTTCATTTTAGGTCAAAAATACCTCCGAGTTAGTAGCAAAAATAGCTGGGGTATCAACTTGAACAAAGCTGGTAGCTTGCAAAGCAATCAAATCTTGGTTTAATTTTTTTCTAGAGTCCCTTGGAAGTAGAAGATAAAGACAGTCTGTTCTCCAGTGTTGAGCACACACCATACCTGTCAAGAGCACTGTCACCTTATGGTGAGCTTGGCTTGCTTCACTCCAGTCCAGTGGAACGTGCCAGAAAACATTCTCGGAATAGATCCAATGCATCTAACTCAAACTCAAGTGTCAGTGTGTCAAGCACACCAAGAAAACGCTCCGGAGTTTCAAGCCGTTGCTCCTCTGATAGCTTTGTGAGCATCAGTCGTTCTCAGAGGCGTCAGGAAAGCAACTCCAAAATATACAGTGGGGATCTTCTGGACAGACACTCAGAATTGTTTACCAGCAGCCAGAAACCTTTTACTCCACGCACCTTAATATCAGATGCTAAATCTGCCCTGCTCGGGTATAGGTATTACACTGCTGCTCAAAGGAAAAGGAAAAAGCACTGCAAGCAACATGTGGAAGCTGAAACACAGACTGATGTGATCAGGTACAGAGATTAAAACTTTGTTTTGCAACTGTGGAATTTTGCTACCTGCTACTATACTATTTACTCTTCTGTATGGTGTATATTTGTGCTTTCTGTCTTCTAAATTAACTGCGGTAAGTATGCATGTCTTCCCCCCCTTCTTGTCCCCATAGTCTCATACCTTCCAATTCATTAATTAACACATCATGCAGAGAAACTGTTTTTTTTCTTGAATGCAATTCTTCATTGCCTTTTAATAATTTTAATTTAAATGCCTTCAGATATATCCAATATGAAGTATACTGATGTTCTTTTCTTACACTGAACTTCTGCTTAGCAAATAAAGAAGTTTTGATTTAGTTTTTATTACTGTTACTACTTCCTAAAGATGAACCTTGTGTCCTTAGTGCCTGCATGTCTAACTTTTTGTCTGAGCACAAAGTATGAGTATCTTAAAACTGGAACGATTATAACTTTTAGTCCACATTGCAAAGATCTTGTGGCTGTGGGTGGCATGGGTCATAGTGCTGCACTTTTAATACACAGAATCATCTATATTTTCAAATCAGAACAATTATTGTGGATATTGTATTTATCCTCTGTAAGTATACAATCAAAAAATGGATTTGGAACACTTCTGTTTGGCTAGCGTTAATGTTCAGACTTAATTAAATTTTAATTTCTGCCAGACTTCTATTCACATGATAAAACTTTCTAAACTGTTCAAGAATTTTAGTACTAGGTTCCTTTCAAATTCATGGGAACTAAATGTCTGAATTTCCATAGTGGGTGGCACTGGTATTCACATTCTGCTTACCTTGAAAGTAACCACCTTAGAGATCTAATACATCTCTAAATTTTATAGCTTTCCAAGTGCAGATAAAGGATCTGAGAAAAAAGTTACGACTGAACAGCGGAAGATGACAGTGAAGGTAATACTATCATCAACTATCAGTCATCTAAATAGTTTTTCCCTACCCTTCGTTATCATTTTGGAGGATATAATTAATAAATAAATACCTTAAAAATTAATTAATAAATAAAAACGTAAATAACTGCTCTGGCGCAGCAGTATACAGTTGAATAAGGTTTCATTTTCTTTGTTATTCTAAGATAAGTTAGTTAGATGGAGGAGAAAATTTCAGAAGAATGAGCAGAAGTGATAAGAAAAAAATACTGAGCTTAGAAAATAAGAGTTTTGAAAGCTTTTTTCTCCAGACAGTTTTAGAGAGGCACTAGCATGCTTCATTATCTGTAAAGGACATAAATAATCGGCACGTTATTTATCAGCAGACCTTTCTGCCTCTGTTGCAAGGATTTTTTTTCTTTATTTTGCATTGGTTAACATATACATAAGGCCTGAGACAGAAGTATTGAGACTAAGGAGTCCCTTCCTTTTAGGAAATATCCAAACCAGTAGGCAGAAATGCTTTCCTTGTTGTTTTCTTTCATTTTTGCTTAATGCAAAATTTTTTACATTTATACCACTTCAGGTTGTATCTGCTCCCTAGTATTTTATGTTGCAGTCAACAGATGGTTGCAAATATATCATTTCAGTAGCTGGGTGCTCAGTATTAATATAATTTACTGTGTATTTTCATTGATAATAAATATTTTACTTTTGCATTCTAGAGTGAAGATAAAAGATACAATATGGATGAGCCTGAGAAAGAAATAGCTGCTTTTCCATACTCCTATCTAAGGTACCGAATTTACAGCAGGAAGAAATAATTGAAGTATTCTTTTCGGGTTTCAGTACAATTTTTTCTAAGGCCAGTAAGCCATCACTTACAGAACTTGATAGTTTTCAATGAATGGCCTTTTCCAACTCCCCAATCTAGTTTTCTTTTGATGAAGTTCCACTGTAAAGGCAATTAAGAAAGATACTTCTGAAATATATGTGGTTTTTCATGTGTGTTTTTTTTTTTTTTTTTGTAAGCTGTACATCAGCTACAGTATTGGCATACCTTTCAGGAAAATGAATCTCCAGAAATCTAGGCTTTTCATTCTAAGAGATGCTAAAATTCCAGGCCTAGGGTATTTTCCTACCTCATTCTCCTTATTGCTGGAGAATAGAATCATGCTTTACTTGCTGATTTACTCTGTAGCCTTTGCATAGAAATCTAATGGGTTAGGTTTCTTACTATCAATGTAACAACTGTTATTTAATAAAAACAAATATCTCTTTTAGTAATTCAGGTATTAAGTTAGCTTAGTCTATAAACTCCATTATTTCAGTTGATGATTTGCAAACTCCATATGGTATATTTAAGATCGGTCTGTCAGAGTTCATTTATAGACCTGTGCCAAAGATTATTAATTGGGCATTCATCCTTCCTGAAGTCTTCTATGTGGCAAATGACATAGGGAGCCTTACCCAATTAAATACCAAATCATGTTAAGGTAAAAGCACTTTTTATGGATAATGGATACCTCTTTTTTAGTTATCAGTCAGAAAACTGCGTCTAGTAAGGTGCTGTAATACTCTATAACTATTGCCTTTCAGGCTTCAAGGTGGGTAGTCAATTTTTCTATTGGAGCAGGGTTTCAGAACTTCTGGTAGGTTTTTTTTGTTCTCCAAGGAGTAGGGGAACAAGACAGGCAGATGACTCCAGAAGAGCATGAGATGCAAGGTACTATGCAAGGTTTTCATAATGTTGCTCTTCACTGTTTCTTACCCTCTGATTTTTCTGATTAGAGAGACATCATTGTATTCTGAGCAGCTTTCAGCAAGGATGAATACTGAGGCTGTGTAAGTATATTTACACCATTTTTCTGCTAGTTTGGAACAATAAACTAGAAGCCCTCAAAAGTGATGAAACAATATATAAGGACTCAGAATAAACTCCCCAGTCTATAGTAAAACTGATATATGAATTTATATGTAACAGTTAACAACTTCCATATCAATCCAAGTCTGAAGAAAATTCACTACAACTTTGGAGGTAAGATTGATTGCTATTATCCAGAGGCTACACTTTAAACATTTTCAGTTCTTTTTTTGGACTAAAATCTGTCTGGAGCAAATTAGAAAGATTAGAATGTGGAGTTGAGGTGAATTCTCACCAAATTTTTGCTCTTAGATTTGATGAGAATTAAAGAAGATTTTAATTTGTCAGTGAGCTCTCATATGACCTCAGGAAAGTGATTTGATATCTTTATGCTTTAGATAGTCTTGTTCTTGTCTAACTTTAAACATGTAGACCATAAACATAGATCATCTTTCATAGATGGAACCAAAAATGACAGTCTTCAGAATGGATGACAACTCTTACATAATCATGAAAGTTGTATCAGTCTTGTTATTTTCTGTTTATTATAAACTGGAGGATGATTCTATAGAGCTTAATTGGTTGGATGCTTTGGGATAATTGGGAAAGATGCTATGAATGAGAAACAGGACTTAAATCTTTTTTTTTAAAAAAGGGGGTACTGGGGAAGTAGCAACAGAGTTTAGAAGTGAAAAAACACCTGAGTTTCAAAGATTCAAAGAGGTAAAAGTCACATATCACACAAACAAGGACTTGGTATACCAGAGTTGTCATTTGAAAGGAATGGAGGCTGCCAACAAGCACGCACTTTTCTGTGCTCCCAGTGAGTACTCACAATTTTGAACTGCAGTCAGATTCTCAAGAAACTTCTTTGGAAGCCTTTCACTAGAACACCAGACTGCAATCTTCTACTTTCTTCCCACTTCCTTTCCGAGTGCAAAGCAGGTTGTTAGTGCTTTACATCTGCCTCTTTGCTAATTTACAACACAACAGAAATGTAGCATAAATATGAAACACCATAGTGATTTTTTTAAAAATTATTTTTTTAACTGAGTGAAGGGCTAGGTAGTTGTCTCTATTTTTAAACACTTAACATTGAGCTTTCTGTTCTTCCTCCAGAGAAGATGACCGTTTATATTTAACTTTCATTGAAGATATAACAAATGACATTCTTGACATTGGGCTGTTTTCCAACAGGTAGATTATGGCTATTTTAAAATTTGTAATGCTGTGTCACTATACATTTCATTGCCTTTTAATAATATATAAAAACCCAGTTACCCCTTGCTTGTTTTATTTCCTTTTGATTCTTGCTTTATATAAGAAAAGAGGACTGAGAAAGAGCTGCAGGTCATCTATTTCAGTCTACTCCAATGTAACACGAGATGCAGCCTCTATTAGAAACTGATCTGTGTGGAACAACGTCAGAAAAAATAATCTTACTCTGCAAGATCTGTTTTGCTAAATAAACAAAGTTATTAATCTTTGATACAGTATTTCTTCCATTGCCTTTCTGTCCTTGGTCCTGTTGCTGTTCCAGTATGAATTCAGCCTTCAGTATGCATTGTAAGGATTACATACTGTTCCAGATAAGGGTTCACTAGTTACTAAGGCATATTTTTTTTTAAATAATTGAACAATAAGTAATTATTCTTGGATGTGAGCGTTGCTCCCAGATTCTTTGCTTACCTGTAGAATAAAGGCTCCAAGTAGCCCTCTTTGTGACAGAGCTTAATTAAAACAGTCTTAGTGGTCCTCTTCAGCTAAGAAATAAAAATCAAGTAGTAGGGTTGTTAGAACATGGTTTTGTTTGTGTTACCTGATTTTTTTTTTTTTTATTTATAGAGTTCTGGAACAATTGTTCGAGTGTCATATACAAGAAAATAAGAACCGTTTGGATGAGGTAGGTACTGCCTCTGTAATATTCTCACTTTCCACATTCCCAAGTACAGTGGAAAGGCACTGGTATGTTTTCTTGTGTACGTAACCATAATAATCAGTGGGGAACGTCTTTATAAGATATTTGCAGACTTCTGATCTACCAGGCGTAAGGCATAGTCACAAAAATAATGACAATAGTCAACTCAGTTTGGTGACTCTTGCTATATAATTTACTTACTCAGTTGCAAGCAACCTCCATTTCTTTAGCCAGAATGAAGCCCAGAAGATAAGTGGGCAGATAAGTGCTATGGGCTTTAGCTGCAGAGGTGTCACCCTTTATTTCTTCACACCCTAGAGCAAAATGCGGCACCTGTTGGATGTGCTTAAAGCAGACCTTGGCTGCAGCTCACGGAGTGGTGCTGAGCAAATCCACGCAGGCTGGGAAGCCATTGAGTCACTGGATCTGGGAAAGTTTAATGTGATGGAACAGCTCAAGTTTTGCAGTAGAAGTAGGAAGCAAGGAAAAACTACAAAAAGTGAAGAATTCTTTAAGACCATGGATTTGTTATCAAAGGAACCAAGCGTGTATGAAGTGTCACTATGCAATGAAAATTCAAAGAAGACAGGGAGCAAGGGTGACTTTTCAGAAGATGTTGATGAAATGATGAATGCTGAGACAGAGTCTCATGCTTGTGTGAAATCTGAAGACCCAGACGCTTCACCCTCATGTGAGGAAACTCTAAACTTGATTACTTGTGACAGTGATTTGGAAGCCAACAAGGAACTTCATGATCTTGAGGAAAACTTTGCAGAGGTCCTTCAGATCACACATGACCACTCATCCTAGTGGCCAAAATTTAGCTGTTAAATAGGGAGGAAGCTATTTTTGTAGAGAATTGCCATTCACTAAATAAAGAGAAGTAAATTGTTTATCTTCAGGTGTTTTAACAGAATCACTGAATTCTCTTTAGCAGAGTATTTATTACAGATCAGTGAACATTTCTGTACTGATGTAGACTGTAAAGGGTAAAATGACTGTTAAAAAAAATACTCTGTATATTTTGTCTATAAATGTATAGCCCCAAACTAACTTTTGGGAATAGTAAAATTAGGTGCATATTTTATAGAAAGCTGCAGAGTTATGAAATATTTGTTTTTATTTATGACAAATAAAATTAATTGATGACATTTCTAATATAATGGTGGTCCATGTTATAACGAAGCAAGATTTTTGTAGTTTGCAAGAAGAATTCAATTTACCAACACTGAAATATGACGTACTACTTACCTGCAGAGCAGAGACAGGAATGTTTGTTCAGCCTGGAAGAAGGCAGCATTATTTCCTCTCTTCATGTTCAGCCATTGTTCGATGTTAAATCCCACTGGAGCATGAAGTTCTTATCTTATTTTTTTTTCTTTTCACAGTACCTTAGAACATAGCAAACAAGGTTTCCTTGCATTAGCTTGAATGAAATGAGGTTTGAGTATCGACAGGCAACTTTCCAAAAATAAGCATTTCTTTATGATATTGCTAGCTGAACATTCCTCCTTTCTCAGCTATGAACTGAATTGTCTTATTCCTTACATCAACAGGTATAAAAAACATTTTGCAGTATTAGCTGGTCTCATGCCAGAAACAGATGTATAGTTCTAGCTGCTGCATACAGCAGCTTTTAAGCTGCTCAGTACACCTGCAGCTTGTTTTATGCACAGCTCTTGAGCTACTTAATCCTACTTGTCCTTGATTTAGCTGATAAATCTGGGAAGTGAAGACTGCAACAATTTTCACACTGCATAACACCAAAATACATAGTCCAGTTTCTTGCATTGATGGCAACCTTGGTATAGCATTCTGCAGAGAGTTTTGGGTTTGGAAAAAAAAGGTCCAAGAAAAGTTAGACAAGTCCAAATGGCAGAGCTTATCAACTTGCACATGTAGCTACCTCCTCTGTGGCTCAAGAGCTTCTGTTAAACACTATTAAACTTGTAAGCTCAGTGACTGATTGTAGTGTGCCAAAAGCTCCAGTAAACATAGACCATTGCTTCATTGTGAAGCGTAAGCTTTTTTGGGGAAAAAACAAAGAACAAAAAACTCCCAAAAATTCTTTCAAAAAGCCAAATAAAAGCAATGCTTCTGGAACTCACCAATGTTGCAGTGCAGTGTATGTTTTCCAAGAAAATGAAAAGGCACTTTCCTGGCTGTCTTGGTCCTAATGATAAATCACGCTTGTTGACAGTGACAGCAGAGTGTTTTATTTTACCCACGTACACGTGGCTGAGCAGATGGGTCTTTCGTCTGCCATGCTCAGCTGGCTATCTTACAAATCTGGCCTGCAGCGTGAGTGCCCTGGCTCACTGGAAAGTAGGGATGATGTGAGGATTTTACATTGCTCCATCAGAGCCTGTCTCATTGAGAAGACACAGCCACAGGACTGACCCAGTGCCAGCATCGTTTGTCCCTCATCACAAGGGACTGAAACCCTTCTCCCATCCCCAGAGCAACTCCCTTTATCTTCCTTAGCCCAGAAGTGAAGAGCAGAATGCACCCAGACAATTGGGTTGTGTTTTATATGAAAAAAAATTAACACAGAGTGACGGGCTAGGTCTGGTGCCTATAAATATGGTTTATATATAGAACTAAAGAGTGTGGTGAGTCATCTCCAGGTGCAAAGTCTTCTTGCTCCTCTGCCATGACCACACTGGCTCCTGGAGCCCTCCCTCTGAGTTCTCCAACATTGATCCATTATGGAATTAAAAAATTTTCTCCCACTACTTTGTTGTATAACCTACATTATAAAAAGGATCACTCAGCAAACTTCGGCTTGTGGTCGACATAAGTCTGATTAAGTATAAATAAGAGATTCACATTAAAATTCTGCAAATTAAAGCATAGCAGTGAAAGTGGTCATGACTTCAGCATGCAGAAAGGTGCAAATAATGACACAGTCATTTCCTGCAGTGTGAGTAACATGAAAATAAACAAGTACTGTTCCTTGACCATGCTTCCTGTGGATGAGCTGTCTGAACATTGGTGACGTTTTATCTGGGTAGGTGGTAGTTATAGCAGTAAATAAATTAATAAAAACTGACCTTTTACAAAGAAACCATCTGTCTGCCTAAACCACGATTACAGAAATTTCCTGGACATTGAGTGAAATACTCAGTAAGGAACCCCAGGAGAGCACAGTGATGTGCTGAAAACTAGAGTAGTCAGCACAGGCAGGGGAACTGATTTCTTGTACAACCACTCCCAACAGGTAGTAGGGAAAGAACAGTGGAGATAGATGTTATCAATATGAAATCAATTAGCTTATCTCACCTATAGGTCCAAAAGTAAATTCAGGCTATCCCGGGCCTAATACTTTCCTTGTTTCCTTATTCACATTTGCATTTGGTGGTTCTTCAAATGCAAGTTGTTTAAGCAATTTGATAGAGAAACCAGACCCACATCACTGCTAAGATTAATCAGCAGTGTAAGCTTTGTTTTCTCTCTTGAGCTTTGGGGTTATAAAAAAAAAGAAAAGTGGGTGGTAAGGAAGGCATGATTTTTTTCTTTCTTTTTTTTTTTTTTTAATCTTATCACCTTGAGTTTCTATTCACTTGATGATATATTCAGATTCTGGTATAAGCCCTAGGATATCAAGGTAGTCTCACCACCATTGACTACAAATCTGAATACTTTGGAAGTAACTGTTAGGAGCAATCAGCTGCTGTGATCTACAATAGAAAGATTTATTTCTGCCCAGGCTCATCTGGGCAACAAACACATGTAATAGCATCAACGCTTACTTCAAATGATCAGAAGCCCATTATTGTTACTGTGCTCTGTGACAAAAAATCTCTTATTCCTAAAGCCTACATTTTTGTCATCAGTAGCCTCATTTTCAGAGGTAGGATTCTCTTTGTTTACAAATCAGAGAGGGGCTTTGGGTCATTTGAAATAAAGATTCATGTGATGAAGGGAGAAGGTACTTAGGTGTCTTAGTGCTACCTAGAGATAAAAAAAAAAGAAAACCTGCAAGCAAAACCCAAACTGTCATATTATCCCTAATCAACAATATAATTAAAAAAAAGTGAAAAAACCACAGTATTGTAACTTAAAGCTTAAAATTTCTCACTCCAAAACAACCAACCCAAATACTCACCAGCAGTCCTGTTTTCTTTATCGAAAGTGAAATCTGTTTCATTCAGAAACATTCATCATCAGTTTCCATTCCAAGTGGCAAAGCAATTGATGTGCAAACAGGTGAGTGGTAAATTAATCCACTGCACCAGCCATTGCATGTTGCATGGGTCACCACCAGTCAGGGAATCCAGTTTCAAAGGCTGTAAGTGGATCTTGTGCCAGCGGAAGCTGAACTTGTCATGGGGAGAACACAACGCTGGGAAGGGAAAGAAGCAGAAGCAATTCTCGCTTGCATGACAGTTCATCAGTTGAGCCACAGAAGAGCTATAGCTCATCTCCACCGCAACCACCTAAATGAAATCCTGTGAGGACTTCATGAGATCAAGAAGGGTAGCAACAAGAAAAGTTAATTCAGGTAAAGGGAACCAAAATTAACAACGCTGTGCCTACTGCGCACAAGGCTTTCTGTTCCCTGTTGAAAACATCTGAAGTAACTCTCAACAGAGTAACTCATCCAAAGTAACTCTCAACAAAATAATTCTACAGGCCTCATAGAAGACTTGGTCTCTTTAATGCACTCACTATGCACATTTCAGCAGGGAGCAAAGGGCAGGCAGAAGGTGTGTGCAGGACACCAAGGTGACAATATGCAATTTAAAGTTGCACTCATACAGTAAGCTGTTGGACTGGTTTGCCAAAGCTGTAGGGATGCTAGAGACACAGGATATACTGTCTCACTGTGAGTAAGCACAGACTTCTGTGCAGTAGTTGTTCCTGTTGCATGCTCAGCAAAGCAAAACTCCTGTGTAGTCCTTCCAGTCCTATCACGTTGGTGAAATGAAATTAGACCTTGAGAAGGGCAAGTAAAGGCTAAATAAAAGGAGTGGTGGGGAGACCATCTGAAACTTGAGAAACTCACACAGCTTTGGTCTGGCAGGCCATAAAGCTACACCACCCCAGTCTCAGAGGACGGACAGCGTGATCTGCAGCACGAGGTGCAGAGCTCTCAGCAGTTATCCCAGGAATTCAGCGAGCCCACAGGACTCCCTTACAGTATCTGCACGAGGCTGCAGCATACCTTACATCTCACAGCAGCCCTCGGCCAATTCCAGGAGATGAAGAGCTGAACGATGAGGTGACCCCAGCCCAGCTATCTCTTTCTCTCAGTCACAAGCACACTCACATGCCAAAGAAGAAACTAAGGAATGTGTCAAAGGCCATCAGCTCTCCTGTCAGCCTGGGAATTCCTCACAGGACTTCTGAGCAGGGGCCTCCCCAGCCATAAATTCAAGCTGGAAGCATTTGGCACCGTTTTTCCCAGTGTTTGACACAAGCAAGAGCAGAGATGATGCGGATAGCACAGGTTTGGGTGCTGGCTCTGAGGTTTCTCAAATGCTGGTTGCAGTCATCTCAGATAACAATGGATTGTGCAAGAGAAATAGCTGAGCTCTTCAAGCTCTCCTCTCAGTTTTCCTTTCCCCAGAAACAAATTTGCATGGTGGGCCCTTCCCTCCAGCCCTGAGAGTCTTCAGCCTTGTACAAGAGCTTTCAACCTACATATGTCAAGGGTCCCCACTGTGACTTTCTATGGCATGCATGTTCTTCATGGCTCTTCCTCAATATCTGAGCTTCTTAGAGCCTCTGCTTGATTCAATTCACAGCATAGTGAGACATCCCCAAAGGGTTTTTGGCATATTCTCTTTATGACCAGCTCCAGAACCTTTACCCAAAGTGGCAACTGAGAGATGAGAGACCTCCCTGCCACTGTGAAGCACCCATGATGCAGTTAGCACATTCCAGTCACAAAACTATGGGACAAGTCAGAAACAAGATAGGCTGTCTCACAAAGTTACTTTCACAGGTATAGAGATAATTTAGCTAGTAACACTGGAGCAGTATTTCCAGTTTCTTTCAACAGTGAATGTAAATTAGCCTCAGTTCTTCTTATTTGTCATTATTGTGCAGAGAAATAAGGCTGTCATTTTATCCTGCAAACACAACAGTTCCTTCTGCCCTTTAAAGCGTAAGAGAAATTTGGGGAAAAAAAGACAAATATTTCATCAACCACAGAAGTTTGTTTCTATTTTTGCTGAACAATTGTGTTTTCCTCCTCTTTCCTAATTACATTTTGATCATGACTGCTGACACAATGCTGTGTTTCCCCTCTCTTTACAAAGGAGGAAACAGATGTTCTCATTTGAACAGTGTTGCCACTTTTTCCAAGCAGAAGTTATCTCCAGAGAAAATCCAATCAAATGCACTGATTATTGTTGCTGGCCTACCTCAGCAAGGGAGCTTTCAGGAGTACTAGAACCAGGAAATAAAAACAACATTGTATTTATAATGAGTCAGTGAAAGGATGGGTCTTCCTCGAGCTGGAAAATTGAAGCAGAACAACTCCCTAAGAATTACAGTTTCAAATTAAATTGCTTCCCCAAATTTATGAAGAAAAGTGCATTTTTGGTGACCAATGAAAATTAAGTGATGGAGACCTACAGTATCTACTCTTAAGCATTATCAAACTAAAAAATAGTCTTCAACCTTTTAAACCTCCAAAGTGCTTTTGCTTAAGGTTCTGTTAATGGAAAGACATTTTTGGCCACAATCAGTCATGAATTGCAGTCTCTGGTATGCAGAGAGAGGACAGCAGATACACATATGCACACATCAAAGTATGCGGTTCCTTCGAATCACTGATTATCAGTATTAACCAGGCTTGACAGGGGCTTTCTTCCTAGGTACTTAACACCAGTGAAAATTCTTCATCTGCCTCTGGGTATGATAATTCTGGGTCTGTTCGTGGAAGGATTTGATGTGCTTCTAAATTTACCTAAGGCACATGACTGTCATTTTAGAAATGGCTAATAATAATAATCTGAACTAAGATTAAGAAATCTCATGTGCAAGCCCTCGATGTCTTTCCTGCTTTGTTTATTATAGCAGATACCTTGAATCCATGAAATAAGCAGGGCAGTTATACTGGCTTGGTTAGTTGAGTGTGACCAGTGTTTGGCTTAAATTTAGGTATCTGTCTGAAAGATTGTCCTGCTTATCTCTAGGAGATGTGGTGATTAATTAGGAATAGGAAAGATTTTTTCTAAGCTCTCTCCCTTCTAGCTTCCCCATCTGCCTCGTGCCCTTTTTTTTTCCACAGAGTGCAAGAAGAGGCACAAGCCTTGAAGTCCTTTCTTCAAAAAAGCTCCCAAAGGATGCCAAGAATTCAAAGGTTATTTTGTGATAAAATACTCCCAAGCTCACCATTTCCTACTTACTCTTGCTTTTTCTTTGAATTAAATGAGGCTAGGTTCAAAGTAATTGCAGTAATGACAGAACTAGCCTTTAACTATCAGAACAATCATTTCCCTGAGCACCAGAACCACAACACTGCCATCACTCAAATGCAGAAGTTTCACCCTGCCCAAGAGCCAGACTGAGCCAGTGACAATCCAGAGCAACACAAGGTAACTTGCTTAGTGCAGAGCTGATGAACATCCATCATTCATCCAGTGCCACTCACCTCCAACTCTGCAACAGCATTCTCCTTTTGGTACCTGCATACATGCAGTTGCCATCATACTCACAAATGGTGACCATCCACCAGTTGTCCTCTGGGTGCGGTAGATAGCCTGGCAATTTATTTCTGCAGTGCTGTGCAGCTGCTGTCCTCATGCAAAACCCAGCCTTCCAGACAACAATCAGAACAGTGGAAGAGAGAAAACACATTTATATGCCATCATTGACATCTTAAAGAAAAGCAATGGATATAACAGCAACCAAAACAAACAAATAAGCAAAACAAAACAAAACCAGAACACCATCATATCCTAAACAGAGGAACTGCCACACATAAAGCTCTCTGCTAGGTATTGAGCATTGCTGAGCTTCATGTAATCTTCATCTATCTACAGCCATTCTGGACTTAAACAATGGGCTGCTCTTTTGATTCTGACCCCATGCCAAAAAGACTGCTTTGCACACACAGAACATTCCTCAGGATTTAGGAAAGGATCAGACAGCTACATACATACGTATGTTATTTTACCTTATGTGTATTAATGCCACCAAGCAGAGCATACCTGTAATACAAATCTTAATTAAAAGCCTAGTATTTCCTGATCATTGAGTCTGTGCATATGGTATTCTGCATGGACAGTGGATGTGAAATTGTCTGGTCTGCAACTACAGTGTCCAGTGTGAAGTACATCCTTTTATGTTGTGCCTTTTGTATCACTTCCATTTTTGACTAAATATCAATTACAAAATGAAAACTTCAGTATTATGTATTGGTAGCAGCTTCAATAATGCTAAGTAATCATATAATCAATTTTCTTTTCTCATGGGCTTTTGGAAAGGGTTTTTTAACTTCTGAAAGCTCTGCTTAAAGGGAAATTGAATATTCAATATGAAGAGTAACTTTATAAAATGCAAAAAAAATAAAAAAATAAAAAATGATGTTAGGTTGGCAAAACATATGACTTTTCTACCACAAAGATGAGAACAATTAGTACCTGACTGTGGAAGCTTTATCTTCATATTGTAATCCAGGGCAGTACTCACAGAGCTTTCAAAGAGGGATAACATCTTTTTGCACAGAAGGCCAAGTTCCAGACTGGAACACACATTGCTGATTTTTCTTTTAATAATGGAACAATAAAACTGCATCATTGCTTCAAATATTTATTTTTCATGGCAAAAATAGACTATAATATATTCATTTCACATATATTACATTCAGTAATACAAGCTTTTCTGTCTATGAAACACAATTTGTACATTGTTTTACAAACCAATTTCAGTTTTACAAGAATTAAAGCTGTTTTGGTAATAGATTTTTACAGTATTGATGGCAAGACAGCAAAAATAGACATGTTAACCACTAGCTTAGTACTAGAAAATAATACTCAAAAATTCATGTTGCTACTGTAAATAAAGTCCCATTTAAATCCTTCCATACTGGCTCAAACAAAAACAGAAGAAAACGGAGCCAGATCCTGCATTCCTCTGACATTAAGTACTCAGCCCTACAAAACTGCTGAAAGGACTTCAAACACCTACTTGCTTCAACTGGGTGAAGAGATTTCAGCAATGTGCAGGAGGGTAACTACTTACTGATTTGCAAGCTGGAGTCTAAAATTTCCATCCAAGTCTCCCCAGATCGGTCATAAAGAAGACAAACAGTTTGGGTGTTTCAAAGGAACTTGAGAAGGTATCTTTGTAAAGGGACAGCATACACACCTTGTCTGCCAGAATCATCCAGGATAAGCAAGGTGACAGATGGGAGGATCTATTTTCCTATTATGTTTCCTATCATTCTAAAACTTAACTGCGTTTGTCATTAAATACTTCCACATCTCCTCATTTTACTTAACCATTTCCAAATGGAAAAACAGCATTTAAATTCCCTTTAAAAAGGTTTCAAAAGGCGCCTTCTGAAATTGTGCTCACAAAAGCAGTAATTTGGTGGTTTTGACTGCTGCCTATCAGAAACAAAGTAAAACCACAGTATCTACAGGCTTATTCTCTAACTTGCCACACACTGCATCTGTTGTAAACTCTATCTGTTAGATTTTTGCATTTGATTTCTGTCTTAATTCCCCAATTAGAGCTGAAAAATGGACTTCTAAGTAACAAATATACTGGAGGTTATTCTTTACCACTAAACGCAGCATCATGTGGAAAACTACAAATAGAATCCAGGGTCATTTAGCAGCCGTTTTTTGAAATGCACATAGAAACGAAGAATGTTTTTTTCAGTCCTTGTAGACCTTAAAGGAACATACATGATGCCAGCAAAATGCATCAAGTTAGCTGGTCCCCAACAGGATCTTCGTAAGAAATCTTTTTTACAGCCATATTTGCAACAGCTGTTGCTGTTGAAGCTTAAGATATTTTCCTATAGCCTAGCACATTTGAGATTCTCTGAAGTTTTATTTGCACTGTACTTCAAATGGCACAATGCAACATATTTGTAAGCATATGCCAAATTCCACAATTCAAAGGCCCAGTTTTCAGCATAGCCTTAGCTCGATCCAGTTCATACCTACAGTAAACAGCTGGCTGCATTAAGAAATCATCTAAACTTTGAAATAATCTAATCTGCATCCATTACAAATTATCAGCACAAATTTGCACATATGCCCCTTTGCCTTCAGCTTGCACACCTAAAACCTGAGACTGCGGCCTTAAAATCTGACCTTCAGTAAGCAAACAGAAGCTGAGGTGACAGATTGCACTGAATCTGTTTGGAAAAGAATATATTTAAAAATAACAGAGCTTCTGAAATAATATTTGGAGTTTCAAAAATCGCATTTTAAGAAGTCAGTAGAAATAACACCTATGACTACATGCTCACTTACCCTACTATGTAATTAAAAAAAAACATACCATATGAATCAAACCCTTCTAGCAGCTCCACTGTGGATACAAAATGTTCCAATTCCTCCTCCAAATGCCTTCAAGCCATTCCTCAAATCCACACTCTCCAGTTCCAACATTTTGTACTTTTACAAGAGAATTTCTTCCAAGTCATCTCAGCTACTTTTCCTTGTAATGTTCTACCGTTCTACCATGTGTAGGCACATTCCTGATGCATTCTTTTGATTAATTCATGCAATCTATATTTAAATTCAAAGAAGACGTGAATATTCACATTTTAAGGGCTTCCACTGGCAATAACCACTGCTTAATCCACTCACTAGAACTGCAGAATTTTTACCTCTTGAGGGATTGGGCTCTGGCTTTGCATGTGTTTTTTGTATTGGAAAAAAAATAGAACAATAAATAACTAAAGCAAAGAATTATTATCAGTTGATCTGTTGTTCCTTTTAAATTAACAACTTGAGCTAACCACTGTAGCACAGTAATGAGTTCACTATTTTAACTGTAGTGCTTTAGTAATGGTACTGGTATTAAAACCAAGGTCTCATTACACTACCAGCTCACAGGACAAACCACCATGCAGTTCCCAAGTTTGGTCCAGAGGCTGTTGAGAACTATGAGCCACTCAACTTTAACAAAGATTCCAACAAGAAAAATATACCAGCTGCCTCTGGTAGCCTTAGTTACTAAAATTAAGAAACTATTTTGGAGAGAAGTACTCCAAGTGTCATCCACTTTAAAAAAAAAAAGAGACACATAAGATTACTAGAAGAACAAAAAATGCACACTTTCTCAAAATGTATCCATTTCAGTATGCATTTATTTTAGAATCACATACTAACTTGGGTTGGAAGGGACCTTAAAGACCACTCAACATCTCTGAAGGTTGCAACCTTCAATTTATTATTATATTCCTATGCAGTTGTAGCTTTCACCATTCCTGTGTGCAAAAGGTATCACAGTGAGAGCAATATTAAGGCCTTTAATTTTGCTATTCATGGAGACTGCATTCCAACATGCAGCAGAAAAAGGGGACCACTGTTTTGCGGGCTGCAGAGAAGCAGTGCAAAACTGTCATGTAGCATGGAGCTTCTCCATCAAAGAATGAGTGAAGAGTGATCTGCAGTTGACAGCAAAGCCTGTTAAGCAAGTGTCATCTTCACAATCAACAGTGCTGCAAATTATGTTTTTAAAGAAGATCTGGGATCCCATGATTACAAGGATTCCCTGTCCAAAAATTCCCTCTCCAGAGCAAACAAGACAGAAATCAAATGTACAGAAGCCCCTACAGGAATCTATTGGTTCTTCTCCTGACTCTTCGAGGAATTTGATCCTAAGAAAGCATTTACCACCTAGACCACAAAAGACACTCACACCTGTCTCTTGATAGTAATATAGCACCTTTATTTATCCCTGAGAACTCTGGCATTCCTAGAGATCAGCATTCCGTTCTTTTTCCTACTAAATAAGTTCAGCTCAAATCTTACACGATAATTATCTGGTTTCTCTCCCATACTAAGAGAAGCACACCTGGCAGAATGGCTTATAGAGGAATTTTAAGCTTTTGACAGAAGGATCCAATTTCCACTCAGGCTCTGCCTGGATTTGGGCCACGAATTTTCTTATAAAGTCCCACACTTCCAAAGCACTCAGCACAACAGCATGTACAAAGCATCCCCTTAAAGGCTCAGAACAACAAAGTGCTAAATCTGAATGTTCTTTTAAAAGCTATCTGAAAATCTAAACATTTTTAAAATTAGTTTTGTGACAGGAGATTGTGGAGTTTTATTTCTTTTGGTATCTCCAGAAGAGAAACTGCTTATTTTCAATGCCCGCTTGGAACCTTATGCTTATATGTAAAAACAAGCCTTCATTAGGAAGGTTCATAGAAAGTCAAGTCTTATTAATGCAAAAATGCACTACAAGTGGAAAGACTGAAACGCTGAAGTGGAGGAAGTAGCAGTGTTACTGCTTTTAAAAAAACAGACTGTGAATACCAGGTTAGAGAGCTACCACCTCTCACTTCCTCTCAGAAAGATGGAGAAGAAAATGGAAGGGAAAAGCTTCCTCAGCCACCTCAGAAACTATCTCACAAGTTTGGAATGAAATTGCTTATTTTGTTTTTTTTTTTTTTTAATGCCTTATACCTGACATTCTGTCCTAAGAGCTGCTGAATGGCAGAAAAGTGTTGCACAAAGTTATGGTCACCTACAATTTCATTAAAAGCACATGCACCACATTGCAAAGATCATAGTTCAAACTTTGGAAATGGTAAAAGCTACATTCTGGAGCATACATTTTTCACTCAGAAACTGTGATTAAAAAAAAAAAACAAAAACAAATCAATGTTTCTATAACAGAAGATAGCACAAATAGCCAAATACATTTGTTTCATTCAGTGGTATTTCTGTTGACACGTATGTCAAACTTGTTTGCCTGCAAGACTATATGTATAATCAGTCTTCAGTAACTTCCAGGTCTCCCCTGGAATAAGGCATTATTCCATTCAGTTTTATGTTTGGCAGTTAATATTTGCTAGGCATTTTTTTCCCTCCATTTGAAATATTCAGTATTTTTTTTTACTGAGGGTAGAACAATTCAGACTGCCTGACAGAAGACCAAATGCACTAGTTGAATATTATAGTGTATTTTAAAGTAGCACGTATTTTATGGAATGACATATTAGCACAATGTCATTTGGACCTTGTGTTTATCTTTATGGAAACAGCTTATTAAAAAGGAAATTGACGAAACATTTATTATTCTTTTAATCTATGTTTCAAGAGGAAAATCATTGTTTGAAGGAGAGAGGAGATATGCTTCATAATAGCTTCCAAAGCCTTGTCACAGCTCAGGGAATAGCAACATCATCTTACAAGTGGAAAAAAAAAACCTCACGGACTCATTTCATTTTGTTAAGCAAGTATCATGGGAAATGGATACTGAGATGTACCTGCACACTTGTCTACCACAGGTTTTTTTTGAAATTACACTAGATGTCTACAGACAATTAGCTCACTTTGGTATAGGGTCAAAACACTCCAAAAGCAGGCAAAACCATATTGTCCTCATTTTAAAAACACAGACACAGAAGTATTCAGGATACTGTCAATAGACCAGACCCATGCTAGTCAGGGACAAGACAGAACCTACCAGAGATAGGACATCTTCACATCTATGCCGCAACCATTTACTCTGCAACCTACACAGTTACTAAAATGCCTACATCTCCAGTGTTACTTCTTAGCGTTCTTACATTCTGCAGGCATTCTCAAATGGCTCCTGTGAACATCCTTCATTGCAATGCTGTACAGCATTAGCAAAATCTGTTCTACTGCTGATAAAATAATCAGAGAGAAAATTCCGATGCTTCAAAGGTTTTCCTAACTGGAAATATAAACGGTTTTAATGGTCATCTTTGCCACGCGTAAACCAGCAATCATAGCTGCCACATCTCCACTATTTCCTCTTCACCACTATGCACCTTCTTACTCCAATTTTGCTTCTCTCACTTCATCAACTTTAAAGGCTCTTCCTCAAATAATAGGTTAGTAACAGCATATTACCATATGAAACAATATATGATTATAGTTTCTATGTTTAACTACATAAATAACAGAGCAAAAAAGTGCTTAAAATATTTGCATCCACTTTGATTTCAGCCAGTAAAATCAAACTGTCCTCTAAATTTTTGAATAATACTGAATATGTACTTTCTCTCATTTGTTTATTACCAAGAACTCTGTAGATAATTATATTATTTTTTCCCTGCTTGTAGTCTACAAGTCAATAGGCAAACATGCCTCCACTCAAATGGAAATTATCAACAGTTAACATGATCTTTCACTTGTCATTCTATTACACAGCACTCTACTACTACCTTTACACTAGAACTGTAAGCGCAATTTTTAAGAAGTTAGTTCAAGCACAGATAACCTTCTCTGAAAACATTACAGTGTTTTAAAAGTTGGGTGGTTTTTTTTTTTTGAAAGTTAAAAAAAAAAAAAAAAAGCTGAATAGAAAAATAACTGCCCTTAAAGCAACAACTTATAGTATCTGAGAGCTGCTAGTTCTGCTAAGTAAACCAGAGGAAACCAAAACTTCATTTTAAAAAATATTGATGTATTGTTCTAAATATAAAATTGAAAGCAGAAAGAAACTGTGTGTAAGACCTCGACATCCCCAAGAAGCAGTTTTCTCTCCCCATGTGCATTCACAAATTTTAGCTTTTGCAGAGTTCATTATAATGTTAAAAAAAGTTGGTAAATTGTGCCATGTATTTCCATTCTGTTAGAAATTTATTTTCCCCACCACTCTAAAAAAACATGTACAAGTACTAAGAGCAGTACAAGTAAAATCATTCCCTAATATGGCTGCAGCTGAACATGGGAAGAATTTAGTCCAGGGAAGATCCTGCTTTGCTAGTACTGTTACACTGACTTGTATCTAACAGCCACATACCAGCCCTAAAAGTTAACTGCGTGATTCATCATATGAAGAAAAAAAAATGTGAAAGCAGGTCTGCCTGGACAACTGTAGCTTTCTTTCTGTAAACTCTTGCAGTGTCCCTTAGGAATTGGCAGGGATTATATAAGTCTAGAACTTTTGAGAAACTGAATGAGAACTCCATAGACAAAAGTGTACTGAGAAAGAGTCTGCACCATCATCATTCTCTGATGCCTCAACATGTCCAGCACTCGTGGGATGTCCAGCATCTGGAGGAAAAAAATAAAAGCCATTACAAGTGAGCAAGGAGACTCACGGGTACTTTCTCAGCAGGAGATTCAGCACAGCATCAGTGATCTGGGGACAGAATGAACTGCTCTAATTTCACCTCTGACAATTCACTGCCCATACCTGCACTACAGACTTCACTGTACCACTGACCATATGCCTACCTCAACTTCCTCACCTGTGAAAAGATTTGTCTATCTCTGGGATATGTGGATCTGATGTCTGCAAAAGTTTGTCACAGTATTAGGACAAGGAAACAGATGAAACAATCAGTTTGTTGAGTCTTAGATTGAACATAATGTTATTATTAAATACTTTAGAACTGTACACTTCTGGCTAAAGGATGACAAGGCTAGGTTTTGCTAATTAAACTAACCATTTAGTCCTGCTGAGACTGCAAGTGCTACTACACTTAGGAACAAAAATGTTAAAAAGCACAGAGACCAGCTACAAAAGATGTTCTTTAATATTAACTATTAAAACTAAGGCATGAAGTAAAAATGTTAAAGTCAGGGCAAAATCATGAAACATGCCTAGTAGCCCAGGGTGTACCTTGTTCCACTGAGTGACTCAACATCCTACACAGTCAAGAATCCAACTAAGCATTCCAATACCCAGTGTGTAAGTGGGAAACTACAAGATTATGAACTTCTATTAAATTGCCCAAAGCACTTTCAACCATAATTGTAAAGACTTTTCCAAAGGCCATACCTTGAGAAAGCTCAGATGAACGGCAATAACATATTTATTAGACAGGTTATTTACTTTTTACTACCTAACACTATCAGAAATTAGTAAGAAAAATAGATCACCTCATTGTGTTCCAAGCAAGCAATCATGATCTCTGACAGTATGACCACTCCTGTTCGTCCCACACCTGCACTGCAATGCACCAGTACAGGAGGATTAGAGTTTTTAGGATCTGCAGTGCTGTTTGTATGGCGCCGCACTGACTGTATCTCTTCCAAGTATGCTATTAAGTTGAACAAAATGAGAATAATAAATTCAGGAGATAAAGTTACACAAGCGATGTTGTTAGACTGAACGACCATCAGAAGCAGTAATTTAGCAAATGACATCCCACAGAAAAATTACATATCGCATAAATCATAGGTCATACACCAACTAGAGCAAAACAGATCTACAAGAATCATCCAACTTCGGTAAAGTTTTCCTTGTTCCTCTGTTCCCCACTAAAACCTTATTGGCACATATTCAAATGTGTCATACTTGCTATAGTTATGCTTTAACCTATATGACTTCTTACTAAATTATATATTTGGATTTTGACTTAAATGGTCACTTTAACAAAATGGCAGAAATATTCCTTCCAGAAATATAATTCAGCATCTCTTACTGGTACAAATACATCTTTGAAAGTAGCATGCTTGGTGTAACTATCACAAGTTAATTCATGCTTAGCAGACATCTTAGGTGATTTAAAAAAAAAAAAGAAAAAAAAAGGAAAAATGAAAGAAAGCCATTAAATACAACTTACAGAGAAATCCCTTTAAATCCTCTGGACAGCCATGTTCTGGCCAGTCAGTATACTGCAAATGCCAAACTGTTCTCTCCTGTCCTGTGAGAAGATGTTTAATCTTCAGTCCCGTAGTTGCATAGCAGCCCGAGTCAGTACGGAATCGTGTGGTTATCTTAAATCTTCCATATGTTACAGTGTTGTGTCTTGAGCCAAGACGTGGCCAGTATCTGAAGCTTTTTTCTCTCCCACTTTCCTTAAGAGTAAAACATTTGCTTAACAGAGAAGCGAAGACACTTATAGCAACTAATATTCTTGTAACAATTGTATTTCTCTTCTATTAAGTGCTGCTACAATGTTTTGTTTTTTTTTTTTTTTTCACTAAACAAACCAGTCTTCCACAGGAAGGAGCTTGCAAATTTAGATTTTTTTAAATTGCCAAGGAAAGCAATACAAAGGGGTCATCAGAAAATTATCTCTGACTGGTCTGCTTGTTGAAGCAAAGAGCCCCTTCTTCTAACAAATCAGAACAAAACTGCATAAGGTTCAGGGATAGATCTGACCTGGTTTATACTCACTTCCTCTGCTGTCACCATAGCTATGATGGCAATCCCTTGTTCCCAGATCATCTGCCAAAAATCCTGACAGGTATTCTGCAAAGGGCCCTGTGTAGCAATGTAATCCCACTCTATGCCACCAACAGAGATCTGTAAAAAGAAATAGATTAGACTACTAATTATTTAAAATCTTTTCCTCATTTTCTTAGTCAGTTACTTTAAGATCCACAAACTCAAAAAGATAGCAACAGTTCAGAAATAGGCGCTCTGATTTACATCTGCTTCTTTAGTTTAGGGCATCAGAATATTATGGAAGAGCAGAATTCCTTCTAGCTTCATTTGTTTCTCTAACCATTAAAGGAAACTTAAGCAAGGACCCAGACTACTGCCCACTGTGGATCTAGCCTGACGGTACAGAAAATGAGGAAATAATTATTGTCACTGGAGTTGAAAAGTTTTGATCATTGCAAGGAATCCCAATTCATTTAAAAACTATCTGCCTTCATAACTATTGGAAGAATGGATATATCTTCTGCTGGTATCAATCAGGAGAGAGATGGAAGACATAGGAGAGAGACAATCAATATAGAAGACCTCTTCAACATAGAAGTGAAATACAAAGACCTCTCAGATAATTAATCCTCTATTATTCTTCTAGGCAGTGGGGATAAACAGTTTCCATCTTTCCCACAAAAACAAGCGTAGAGGCAGGAAAACATTTCTCCAACATCATTTCTCTTACCTTGATATGAGATGCATTGATGTAACCCGTGTTATTTTCTTTGGTTGGGACTAGTTCTACTCTGGTATCATCATAAGGAAGGACGTCCTGGAACCGGTTTCTCTCAGCATTTTCAGGAAGCCGAGCTATTGAGCACTCAGCATCTATAAGCCTTTTCTTCTGAATGCGCTCATATTCAGTAAATACCATCCCCTGCTCTAAGCGTTGTTCCAGAACTTTACACTAACAGACAGAAAAAAGATAACCATATGAAGCCACACTCTAAAATGAGTCTATTTTAATATGGAATTCACAAAGGATAAAATATATGTATTTTCCCCTCCTGTAGTATTTTGTTACATTTTTCAAACTAATATTATTTTTACAAACATACCAGAACAAATTAAAAGCAATTCTAACCAGCAGGACTTTTGAAAACTGTCTAAAAAATCCTGTTGTAATTCAATAGGTTGGTGGATAATACTGGTGAATAAAACTGCTTTTTAGCTTCTATAAAGGCAACTCAGTTGGGAAAATAAATATTTGGTTAAAACCAGTGATTATGCTACACTACTTCTCTGAATACTTTTAAGTGGGGCACACTCATTTTTCATTTTTCTTGACATAGCACATTGGTTAAATCATTTTTAAAATCTCATTTAACTGTGTTGCCCTCATCCCTTCCCTCCACCCCTCCCCCCCCCAAAAAAAATAAAAAAATAAAAAATAAAAATTGTCACTGAAGTCAAGAAAAACTCCACAGATTTAAACGAAAATGCTTGCCTCAGTAAATGAGTTTATCTTTCCCCCTCAGTATTCCACATTTACTTAGACTGAAAACATTAAACATTGAAGACAGCAGTAAAGCCCTCTTACAACCTCCTGTATCTTAGGTATCAAACTAGGATTTTTTGTCTAGTAGTATAATTCAATCTGATTTATTAAATCAGCCCACTGAAAGATTTGTTCTTTCAAAACCAAGTTCTTTCTAAATCATAAGACACTTCTGGAATTTCAGCATCTCTTTGCCAACAATGATTAGAGGAAAAATATGTAAGATTTCAGCCAGAAAATTTCATCTATGTCACATGTCCCCAGCCTCTTTCAGCAACTGCTCTGTAGTATCAGATCAGAAAAGTATCTTGTATCAAATAACTTCAATGCCAAATGCTGCAGAGGATGATGTAAGACCTCCTTCAAATGCAATTTACACATCAGTACATTAACTGTCTAAACTCCTTTAATATTTTTAGGCTAAATTTTCTAATTTAATCTGATAGTAACACTTAGCTGAGCAATAAAACAGGCACTGAATCAACTATAAAGTCTTTCTTTATCTTCTAAAAATATCTGCAATCTGGACTTTCTTTCATGTCACATATCTGATTTGTACTGCTTCTTCAGTCATTCCTATTTCATGATATGTATTCTTCTTCTACACGACTACCTGAAGAGAACATGTAGAGATTTACATCTTCCTCATAACTTGACTTTACAGTTTCTTCTTTTCTCTCACTTTGGGCAAAACTAGCTGGATGGTAATATGGCTGAATTAAATTAACATTGACCCAGGAAGAGACGATAGCTATAAGTAAGAGGAAATAACCAATATAGGTACCAAATGTAGAAGTGGGCTTTAATAATGTGATGTCAACTTCTGACCTCCCCTACTATCTTTAATGATTGTATATAGTTCAAAAAGCCATTTCAGCACAGCTGAATTTAATAGTCAAATCTTTCTCCTATAAATCTCAATCCAAGCCCTCAAACTACAAGACCAAATTTCTACTGTGTAACTTGCAACTAATTTTCTTGGCCTGTTCCTTAAAACTGCTACTAGTCAGAATGTCACTGCCCCTTCAGGTTCTAATCCTGCTCAGTGATTGTCAACAAATGGAGGCAGATGGTGTTCTGCAGCTGAGGAGGTCCAACCATCATTAGATTCCAAAGAGACCACTAGTCAGAGTATATACAATAATCACCACAGACCCTGGTGTATGTAGTTGCTCCCTGGTCAAATGTGTGATAACAGCACTGTTGCAAATAGCATTTCACAGACTGTTGATTGACTATATATCATATTTTCCTGCACTTATGTAACGATACACAAGGCAGGCTGAAGTACATTTGTATGCTGGTTACCCTCGTACAAGTAGATTTTCTCAAAGAATGACCCTCAGTTCTAAAACCTGTTGTTCTCCACTCAGCGATTCAAAATTGTTTTGTGGTTTTAAAATTTTAGCAAATAAAATTTCAGCATCTATGCTTTTAGGGATCCATGTGAGGAAAACATAAATACAATCTCCACAAGCTGTATCTTAGGGATGTAATTTGACTACACAATTTATTGTAAAAATTACACAAATTACTAATCATTACAATCAAGTTCAGGCTAACACTCTGAATTTTAAGTTTAATCTGTTTTCACTCTGGAAAGTGACCAAAAAATTAGAGAGAAGACAGAAAGATTTGGCATAAAAATGTATCAGAAGATACTAGTTGATTTCCTCTGTGTTCAAAGGGTAAGACATGAGAAGAATCACCATTATCTTACATCTTAAAGAAAAACTTGATTTACACCCAATACTTCCAGCAATGACTTCACAATCAGAAGTCTCACTCTTCATTTTGTTTGTGTTCTTAGTGTTTGAGTTGCTCTGAATCAGAAGCACTTTGAAGTTGACACAAAGCACCATTCATATGCAATTGATTTTGAAAAACCACTCGTGTAAATGAGAAATCAAAGATTAAAAAATTCACCATACCCGCTCATCATTTGTTGCTCTTGTTGATTCCTCTTTCCCCTCATCTGGCAGAGGCATTCTAGCCAAAGTTAGTCCATTTAGGGCAGCAAGCTTTAGAGGCCCTATTTTTTTTGCATCAGTTTTATTCTTTTTCATGCCCTGAAAAGAAAAGCTAAAATTTACAAACATTTTTAAAAAGCAGATGAAGTTATAAAGCAGAACCCAGATGAGTTCAGTTTAGCAAAGGATACTTTTTTGACCCCTTCTGCAAACAGCTCTGACTTTTTTTTCATGATAAGCACTGCAGTGAGATTAGAGTGGTGGGACAACATTCCTCCAAGGACACAACACAAGTCTGTCTTCATTCCAGACAGGTTAATGAAACTGCACAAGAATGACAAATACTGTTTCCTACAAATCTCACAACTGAGGTTGTGAGGCAGCTACACTGGATAAATAACCTTGGACAGAACTGGAATCACTATCCAACCACTATCCAACCAGTAAATACATAACTAAAAATAAACTTTTGCCAGACAATTTTCAGACACTTTTCTTCCCTACAGATGGTCATAACAATGATATTATAAGTTATTTAGATATAATAAAATGTTTGACTAGTTCTGCAATAAAATACACATACAAAATATGAACACAGAAGAATAGGCAGATCTGAGTCCTGAACTAGACTATGAATCTTATTTGGGAGATATATCAACAGTAGACTATAATGTAAGGATAAATTCAAATTATTCTTTTAAAAAACATAAGTGAGAAAACTATCATTCCTTCGGTTGCTCAGTTTAGCTCTTTAAAAAAAAAAAAAATACACAAAAAGCAAGTAATCTGCTTGAATGGTTTCAATATTTCCAAAAGCTAAATGGCAGTAAAGAATAAGATGACAAAGTCAAGAGGCTGAGACTGTTTTTAAAAGTGAACATAAACAGCAGTAGAAGTTCACTGGAAAGTCAAAAAGCAAACTGCAAAAGGAGTTGCAGGGGCAGCTTTTGTTTCAAGGCAGTTCATCTTAATAATGATTACAAAACCACAATTCTCTATTCTACAATAGAACTCTTAAAATATTACTAACCTAGAAAGTATTTCACTGGAAGTCAGCTCAGCAAATAAGTTTTAATATCAACTTCATTTCAAAAGTTGATTTAAATATTTACTTGGCTATCACAAAGAAAAGGCAAGGTATGTTTTTGATAGACCCATCAACATCTGCAAACATATCTTTCGAAGAAAAAATACAAAGTGAGTATATCTAAATGTGAATATAAATAGAATGGTATCACCTCTTTTCTATATCCACCTAACACATAAGGCAGGAAATTTAGGAAAACAATTTTTAAATAAATTGAAATTGATATAAGTTAATTGCGTTCAGTTCTACATATAAGAAGTCCCACATTAAAAGTTGAGCACATAGCTGTAATTTAAATACATAGTTTACTTCAGATTAGCTTTTGTAGTATCAGCTGTAACAGTTACTGCACAGCAGCAGAAGTTGTACAGCATTTCCACTGCAGACCAGTTTGTGCAAAAAACTATCTGACACAAACTCAGGAAGGCAAAGTTAGCAAGAACCAATAGGAAAAAAAAGCAAAAAAATTATAAAAACGTACTCCTCCATTAGCATGTGAAATATGCCAGGAACTAATAAAACCAAACACAGTGAGTGATAAAGAGTGCAAGTGAAATCATACAGTCCCGAGCAGACTTCGATGTTTCTATGAAGAGGGGGTTGTAGGAAATGGGAAAATCACAGTTGTTCAATTGATATCTTTTTATGGCTTTGTAAGATTGGAATAGGAGAAAGGGGCACAGGAAGAAAGAAATAACTTCAGTGAGATAAAAACAGCTTGAAGGCAAGGCAAAAGGGGAAGAATATGAAAAGAGGAAGGTATGGAGGAAAGAAAAGAAGAGAACACGAGCAAAGTATTTATTATTAACGTTCAGCTACATCTGATTTTTCAGTGAGGGACGTTCTAATATTAGAAAGCTGGCAGTGGAACAGACACAGTTGGTTCTGTTCCAGATAAGGATAGGGAGGCTAGAATTCAGGATCTAGAACTAAAAACTAGTTGCTAACTAGGTTAGCTATGTCAGATGGATGAAGGCTGCAGAGTTGGATTTGTGTGGGAGGACTACACAAACAAAACTCAGACACAGCAGAGAATATAAGTAAACAAAGTTAATGAGAGAAAAATAGAAGAATAAAGATAAAGCTTAAAGTATCTTTCAATTCATATGTTTTAAAAACATAGGTTGATTTAAAAACAAACAAACAAAAACACTTAGAAACCCCACATAACTCTGGCCACAGAACATCCTAAAACAACATAAAACAAGAAATAATATCCACTTACACCTAGTGGGGGAAGGCCTTCCACAATATTCTTCTTCCCAGACAAAAGATCGGACACAGGTCTCTTCTTTACTGAATCCTTCCTTACTCTGTATCTCCCTGATGTTGTAAGGTCAGATTCTGACATAGATGGAGTAAGCAGTCCTTCCCCTCTTCTCTGTACTTGGTTTTCTACTAGTAAATGAACTGGACTTATGTCTTTCATTCTCTTTTCCGTTTCTGAAATATGTAATTTAGGCTCAAGAATATGCAAAGGGCCAGTAGATGAAGCAACTGAGTTATAGGGGTAGTTGAGTACAGAATCATGAGAATAGCCACCCATAATGGATGAAAGCTGGGTTTGATCTTCAGGAAGAGGAGAGAGGCTAGTACTAGCTTTGTTTTCTTCAAATTCTTCTTCTTCTTCACTACTGTGAATCAGCATAGTGGCATCTGAAAGGGTTTTCTTGTGATCACAGTTCACCCCTTCATCATGCTCGTTTTCTTTTTGCTTTGTTCTCTCTATCAGAATGTTGGGCTGTGACCCTTCCGAAATAACTCTTGGAAGAGCCACATCTGCTGCAGATGCTGACATGGTTCTCTCTTTTATTCTTATTCCTTCAAAGCTGGGAGTCAAGCCTGCTATTTCAATACTGTTCCTTTTCTGCAGCTGAGCATGGCGTGCCGATGTTAGAGGTTCACTGACTTCCTGTAGAGAATGTGCCACAGGCAGGCTGTCTTCCTGAAATGTCTGGACAGAATGATGAACTCGCCTCGTGATGAGATCTGGGTTGCTGCTGCTAATGTAGATATGTCGAGAAAGGTCTGGAGTACTATTTGCAGGTCTTGGATACGGATATGGGGGAGGTGGTCGATAGACTTGGGTCTTCATTATATTTGGTGCTGGATAATCCTGAGCCTGGAGCTGCACATTTGTCAACTCGGGCACACTGACTGCCCCAACAACTGGGCGTTTCTCAGCAGGATAGGGATAGGGGGATGGGCTATGAAAACTGTAGTTCAGGTTAAATGGATAATGGTTAGATTGTGGGGAAGTGAAGTGGGCATGTTCTCGTATTTCAGGTTGGCTGTAAACTAAGGCATCAGGCCTGCTGTAAGCATATGTATTGCTGATGTTAAGATTTCTCATTGAATGACTCTGCCTATCTGTGTGTACCATTCCTCTATTGAGTTGTCTCATCACAGTTTCGTAGTCTGGTGTGGGCCGATAAGATGGTGGAATTAGGGCACTATGTCTATGTGATGGGACATAATCAGTTCTGAGGACATCGCTCCCAGTAATGCTTGGGTTAGAGGACATGGGGGACGGCTGTAGGTAATGTTGTGGGTTGTTCAAGGAGTTTGTGCTATGTGCACTATAGACACTACCATTGCGGATTCGACCACTGTAGTCATGAGGGGCTCTATCCAAGCTAGTCTGAGAGTGATAGTAGTATCCATTCTGACTGCTCACAAAGAGGTTATCTGAAAGTAAAGTTTAAGAACAATCTTTATGTTCAAGACCTTGAACAACAAAGATATTCTCTATTAAGATGTAGCTAACTGATGTTTCAGACTTTCAAAATCTCAGTCATATTTTGCTATGTTTTCAATTGGGAAGAGAAAAAACACAGCTTTTTTGGTGTTGTAGATACCTAAGTTATATTTACCAGAATAGATGATGCAAATTCCTACTGGAAAGCATTACCTCTATTTAACAAGGGCTTTCTTCAGTTTACAATAGGTTGCTAAGTTTAAATTAAGTAAAATCCATATAAAACTTTAAACAGTTCTAACTGAAGGAACTAACACCTACACCTAGATTTGCAATAGCCTAATGAGATCAGTTTAAATAGCAAGAAAAAACAAACACTCTCTCCTCATAACACTCTCAGGACATAGATGGATCACAAGCACTTAAAAAAAAAAAATCAAACTAACTTTTATCCAGAAAATTTGGATTCAGTTTAAACAAGAACCATATACAGTTTGCACATCAGTATTATCGCTGATGGGTAAAGAAAATTTTCTAGAAGTTTATAGACAATATACATTTAGTACTCTAACAATTACTTCACTGTCTGTACAATTTGCCCAGCAGAAGCAAACAACTAAGGAGAAAACATCTCAGTCATTGTTCAGATTTTTATGATATAACAGTTTAAGTTCTATGTATTACTGTATACGCAAAATATGTATTTTATGCATTGTGCGTACAAACAGAAGGGGGAATGACTGTTCATGAGGGTGAATAGTAATAGGACAAGGATGAATGGTTTTAAACTAAGACAGGGAAGGTTAAGGTTAGATATTAGGAGGAAGTTTTTCACACAGAGGGTGGTGACGCACTGGAACAAGTTGCCCAAGGAGGTTGTGGATGCCCCATCCCTGGAGGCATTCAAGGCCAGGCTGGACATGGCTCTGGGCAGCCTGGTGTGGTGGTTGGTGACCCTGCACATAGCAGGAAGGGTTCAAACTAGATGATCATTGTGGTCCTTTTCAACTCAGGCCATTCTACAATTTTATCATTCCGGAAGTTCCCCATTGCCATATTTATTTTAATGAAATTTCCTACAACCAAAAATTCTTTTGTTTGTGAAAAAAATGTTCAAAAGAAGGATTTGTACAGTAGGAATTAAGAAGCCTGATAGCTTTCATTGCATCAAGCAATGATTCCAACACTGTACTGGAAACAATTCAGGTACATTCTGAATCTATATATCTTTTGAGTACTTATACAACTATTTACATTGAAAATGTGCTCATTCCCTTATAATGAGTTATTATAATTATTATAATGAGTCTTTTTTTACCTAGCTAACTTGCAGACTGAAAGGTCACAGTCAAAACTGAGGCAAATTTGCAAAAGATGAGATTAATCTCTCTAGGGCATAAACTTCATTGAGTAAACACACAATGTGTAACCATCAAAAAAGCAAAGAAAACAGCCATGACTCCAGAGTGAAACAGCTTAGGAATGTGCATTCCTTGAGAATTCTGTTTTTCCTCTTTTTCCCCCAAAGAAATGTTTCAAAGCCTTTGAATTCCCAACCTTGCAGTCTAGCAAACTCAGAGAAACTGCCAAAAAATGGGATGCAGGAAGAGAATTACTCTTCTTTCCTTCCTTTTTTTTTTTTTTTTTTTTTTTTTAATTATCTGGGGGACCTAGTTAGTCTTTTCAGTTATTAAGATCGATGTTGACAAGAATCTCAGAATGCCATAATATACCAGCTTGTTCCGTAAACCAGAAGACATAATCAGATTCACACAAGGGATCGTAATCAATAGTTGCTGTATCTGCTATCATAACTACCTTTTATCTCACTTTTCACATCAGCATACATGTGGAGTAGCAGCAAGCACATTGGTGACTGTTGCTTTACCAACCTGTCTCATGTTTAGCTCTAACTAAGTAGCTATAAACACAATTATAGCTTTTACCTTCAAAGTTATGTATTGTGGCCTTAGACTTCATAAAATAAGAGACTTCATAAAAATCACAAGATTTGCTGTTTTCTACCCTGTTTAAAATTATTTAAGCGTAGGAACTTTCCAAATCTGCTACAACTCACCTTGGGAAGATGCATATGGTTCAGTATAATGACCATTGTAATGCAGCTGAGGTGGCGGAGGCATCATATAGGCTTGAGGCTTGGGCTAAGTAAAAATGTTATCATTAGTTAAAGATCTCATTATTTAAGTACATAGTCCTTAACAATTACACACACAGAGACACTTAGTCTTCAACCATTTCTCTAAATCTGCAATTAAGTTTCTCCTTAAGAAAGATCATACAAGAATTATATAATAAAAAAATAACCACAGACTATATGTTGCCATCTGACATGCAGGATAGTCTCTAAGATAGAGTAAGCAAACTAGAAATGTTTTAATTTTTTTTTCACTGCTATCACTTTAATTTCATTCATCAGAAGTTACATAACAGCTTTTCAACAAGTCAGAAACAGTTTTCACATAATAGCTTCATCTTTCTCACTGCTTATTTTACTTCTCTAAAGGAAATTAATGTCTATTTCATAGTCAATTTAAATCCTTAGAAGTGCAAATACGTAGGTCACTCCGAAAGCAATGCCTCCTATTCATTTCAACGGAAACTAAAACAGATACAAAGTGCACAAGAACACTATTTGATAGAGCAAGTTCTAAGCTGCACTATTTTTCAATATAGTCACCACTATTTGTTATGCATTTTCACCAGTGATGAGCAAGAGCCTGCATGCTGTGCTCAGAAAAATCTGCACCAGCAGAGGTGAAGCATTATTGCTGCCGCCACTGCAGAAACGCACCACCCACAACCTCACTGTGCTCACATCCACTGTCTGGTCCCCATCAGTGTTCAGCAAAAGTCAATAAATGTCAATGGGCACAATTTTTCCACATGGAGGAATTCCACACCTTTACTTCATGTACACTTCCACATCATACACCACTCTGTCAGACTGCCCCTTTGCTGCTATTTGCCACAAGGCAACAAAATGTAATGGAATACTGGTGGGAGGATTCAACCCCTACTGCCATACCACCAAAATCCACTGCTGACACTGGTGGTCAACATGATAAAAATAGGAGGCATTACTTTCGGAGCAGCCCTCGTATAAAACTGTTTTCTCTCCTTACCATGGACATCCTGGAAGAAGACCTCCTTCTAACAGGATTCACTGTAATGGGCTGGGTTTGTCTACAGAAGAAATCTTATGGTGAGAGATTATTCTTACAACACCAAGATTTATTCCAAACCTTGGAAAGACCTCCCAAGGTCAGCTAAAATCACTCTGCACTTTCCGCAGCATTGTTAAGCAGTCCTTCCAACAGTCTCACAATGCAAGAACTCTGTGCATAAGCCATCAATGCTATGAACAGAATCACAAAACCAGGATCAAAATACCTAAGTTATTTCTTCGCGCCTCCTTCATATAAAGCATAAGAAGAAAAAGGCCCTGAAGCTGTGCAAAGGATAAAAGGGAACTAGTTCCAAATCTCAATCCCATAGAAAATCTCACCCTGTAAGTAACTTCTTCTACAAGACCATATATCACATTGCTTAAAAGGAGTCCTTGACATTTGCAGTGTTAGAGAAAACAGTAAGTACGACTATACTGTATGAGAATTTATATGCTTTAATATTTTAGCTAACAACAATAACTTTTCATGATTTATTGGACTGCCTCCATGTTGGACTGTTAAAAAATCTTAAGCTCCTTTTTCCCCACCCTACAATGCACCGGTACTCCCACAGCAAGACAGAGGTTAAAAAAAAGGCAGAGTAATTCAGATGTAGAAACTGCCAGTTACTAGAAAGAAAAATGACTTTTCAGCTCACCCTTTGGGAAGTGAAGGACGAGAAAGGATTGGAAAGCGTGGAAGGGAAAGAATGAGTGAAGATTTCTGAGAGCCCTCCTCAGGTGGAGAGTCCAGGGAATCTCTAAATACAAGGTACATGCAGATAAACAGTCTGAACTTAATACAGGCATGCATAAGAGTTTTCAGCAGCAGCACCAGATGACAGGGAGTCACAGGATGGAGATAATTACAGTGTTTTTTATGACTTTTCCTATTAATAAAACCATATTGTGGTGAAAGGGTCAAAAGTAAGTAATCCTAAAGACTGACATTCAATACAGAACTATAGAACTCTATAGAACTGATATTATTCAAACTGCAATTCACAATTCCCCCCCCCACAACTCCCAATGCACCACTGCTACTAACACTTCTCAACTCTCACAAATGGCAGCCAGCCTTAAAAGCTTAGAGATATGAGAGCTATTTTATTGCAAATTAATCTTACTCTTCTAAAAAGAAGACTTAACCATGCTAGTGAATCATCTGTGGTATAAAATATTCTGTTAACTGCAGGGAATTTTAAATCAACACCTCTGTAGATAGCTTTCTGTGGGTTATTTACTGGGTCTGTTTCTCTATTTCTGTCTGAAGTAACTTAACTGAAAGAAATCTGTACCAGTGGAAATGATTAGCTCAAATTCCATCCCTTGATTTACAAGTTGGAGACCAGCCCATTTAAATTTAATTTGATGAATTGTATTAAATTTACTTCATACTGGTGCTACTTGAGCTATACAGATTCCATGAATATCCAAAGGACCACATACCTCTCAGCTGTCAATCCAGCACATTTCAGGAGTGCTTCACATACACTTCCCGCCCTTTTAAAGGCCTTCAGAGTGTCCTTTCAGGGCAGTTCACCCAATCACAGGCCAAACCCAACCCCAGTGCTTCCAACAAACATTCTAGCAATAATAGCCTCCAAAGCAACTAAAGTCTGTCACAGCACTGAGATCCAGCACCAGGGGTCAAACATTACTACTTTTGGTAAGATCTTCAGTACTTTATATTGTCCTCCATTGTAAATCATACTAAAGTACAAGTTTGAGAAACTGGTGATTAGCACGATCTCAGAGATGATTAGGGAAAAAATGTAAGCCATACTTAGTATAATCTAAAAATGACACTATAGAAATTACAGAAGTTATAATAAATTTTGCTTTTCCATGGGAACTTCAAGGGCACCAAATATTCTGCTAAAGTATTCTACTTACAAGCTGCATTTATTTAGTCTGTAAAATTTGTGTCTAGCCACACACATCCTCCACACATATTTTGCTGTTTCCATATCTTCCTGCCAAAAAACAAAACCAAAATTTGCTCATTAGTCAAAATACGCATATTCATCACTTACTCTCACAGAAGTCACTGAAATTTTGAAGACTAAGTTGCTATTAACTGATTTTAAAAAGTGAAAAAAGTAAAAAAAAAAAAAAAAAAAAAATCCACTCACCGTTTGGAATTGGATTGTCTCTTCTTTGTTTGCAAGTTCTAATGCAAAAAAGGATTTGTTGTGGGACATGTTGGCAATGTCATGCCACCTATACACAAAAGGAACAGAACATGACTGGTGAGCTATGTTTTTTGAACCGTAGAAAATACAACTGAATACAGAGACCATGTCTACAATTTTACAAGCAAAATATTAAAGTAACGCTAGCAAAACATAAAGTAACAGTCTAACTAAAAAAAAAGTATGAATTCCAAACACTGATGCAAAAAAGTTACCATTTAACTGTCATACTTTTATGTAAAATACATGAGAGATTATGGGATAGTTGTACAGGTGAACATTGCTAAGTAAACTGACGTGTGTATCTTAGGACATTATATGTTCTGTGGACAGAGATGTTCCTTTTTGACTCAAGAAATGTTTCACAATTAAATGTATATTACACGTTCATCTCTTAGAATTAATCCAGCTTAAAGGGATTAATTGTATAGCCAACAGACAGACCTCACTTCAGCCTTTCAGTATTTAAGAGACCTTATAACAGCAGGGAGACCAACTTTTTACATGGTTTGATGGTGATAAGACCAAGGGGAATGGTTCTAAACTAGAAGGGGGAGATTTAGTTCAGGTTTTAGGAGGAAATTATTTACTCAGAAGGTGGTGATGCATTCGAACAGGTTGTTCAGAGAAGCTGTGGGTGCCCCATCCCTAGAGATGTACAAGGCCAAGTTGGAGGTGGCCCTGGGCAGCCTGAGCTGGTGGGAGGCAACCAACTCATTGCAGGGGTTGGAACTGGGTAGTTTTTAAGGTCCCTCCCAACACAAGCCATTCTATGATTCCCTCGAAATTCAGTATTTGTTTAGCATAAGGATTAGAAGATAATGCTCAGGTTTTTATGAAATGAATAAGCATACTATCTAAGAGTCTTTCAAGCTAGTGAGGTACATACACAAAATATTATGTACAGGATATTATAAAGATATTTTAATACAGAACAACACTAACCTAAATACAACAGGAGGCCGGCTATTTTTGTGTTTCACAAAGATACCATCAAGACATGCTCCAATGAATATGTCACTTCCTTGGCTGTCCTGGAAAAAGTTGCAAAAAATTGTGCATATACAGAAAAATACTTAGAAAGCAAAGTTGTATGAGAAACAAACAGTTTTAGAGGAGAGAGGTAGAGTAGTATGTGTTTGGTTTTGAGGATATTAATGTTTATTTGCTTTTATTTTTAACAGGAAGCAGCTATTTTTACACAGGGAAGAAAAGCAACTGAGAAAAAAATTAAAGCCCCGTTTACCTTTGCAGGATAGGTCTCTTCACCATAGCCCTCCATTCTCTCCACTTCTTGCATATATAACATTTCTGCATCAGGAGGAGTAAGGCCTCTACAAAAGAAAACAGTGATCAGCTAATACAGTCAACAATATAAAAATATATTTGTTTTATTCTGAATGACACCATTAAATCTACAACACCACCAAGACTATTAGGCACCCATCAAAACATACTTCTTCCATCTGTACCAAGGTCTGAAAACCTGTCTCAGCCTTTATGCTGTGATTCTGGTTACTTCTTTATCTTAGTCATCTCCACCAGAAATGACAACAAAGACCAGTTAAAATTACTGTCTCTGCTGATGGCAGAAAATCATTACATCCCTCTTCAATCCATCACCATCACCTTATTTTCTCACTTTATCATAAGAAGTAGTCCAGCACACACCTAAATGATCTGAATTTCTCCTACTGCAATATACAAATTTAGTATACAAACTACATCAAATTTGATGAGAGAGTTATTTTCTAAATCTTAACAGAGTTTTAATTGTAATGGTTTGAAAACTTCAGCAAGATAAAATTTGTAGCTAATGTAGCATGTTTTTTTTAATGAAACCTGATGTCAAAAACACTTTTTTCACTAACTTGCACTAGCATTACAGGGCTTAAAATCATGTGTTTCCCTAAATACTTCAGTTGATTTCACAGAAGGCATTATGTCTACCTGAAAAATTTTGTCATGTTCATTCTTATGCCTCTTAATATTCTTAATCATAGTTTTCTTTATTCCTTCGCTTTGTCCTAATATCATACAGATTAGTCTTTCTCACTGGACCTTATATGTTCCATCTTGTTATGAAAACATTTCAAAGCTAAATCAATTTGAAATATTCAAATCTTTGCTTTAAAGTAACAAAAAAAAAAAAAAAAGCCAACCTACATTAGTATTAGTATCATAGTCACAAACACATTTTGCTAATGAAGTGACAACAGAGAAAGTAACTTTCCTTTGTCTTGGACCACCACATTTAGCAGCCTTAGATCACAAGCATTCTGGCCCAGTGACAATCTTTACATTTCAACTGCCTGAAGAATTTGCCAGTATTGTTTATTGAGAAACATCCTTACTGGGGCCACAACTTCATGTTGTAAGCAAGTTTCATATTCTTTATCAGGTGAAGTCGCACTATTTACTGCTGCACCATATATTAATCTTCTAGAAAGATCCTCTTGTTTACTTTAAGAGTCATTAGTTCAGTTTTCGTTTAGAAAAAAAATTAGAAAAAAATCAAAACAACAACAAAACACAGCCATATCAGTGAAAAAAACTCATTTAAATGAGAGATTAAATTAGTCCAACTGCCTTCTGAGATTCTCAATTCCCTGAGCTACAGAAGTAGTCACATCAAAATTGTGCAATAAAGAGTTTTAGAAATGTTACCTGTATTTCTGATGTAGTAAGGCAACTTTCTGTGTCGCTTCTTCCAATATTTTTTCTTCTTGTAGCCAACCCTTAAGGTAAGATAGCATTTATAGAATGAACTACAAAACATTCTATGAAATAAAATGGCTGTAGTGTCCTTACACAGAGAAAGCGACCCTCCACTCTAATTTTGAAGCTTAGACTCTGTATAACATAAACAAAACCAAAAAGTACAAACAGTTTTGAAGTGGTTTTACTTGCTTTCTTGTCTCTACCCTCATAATCTTTTAAATACAATATAATTGAAAAGATCTTGCAATATCTTTGCTTCTGTGCAATATCTCACCACAGTCTCAGAAAACCTTTACTGAATTTGACAATCTTGGGACCAGCAAGCTGGATAAATATAAATCATTATTAAAGATCATGGTTTATCAGTCTCGTGTTTGGCTGCAGTACTCTGAAGAGCTACTTGCAACAGTTTGCTTGTGATCAATAATACAAAAAAAGAACTTAAATTACTTACCACCGGAAACAAAGCAAATCTTTGTAGAAACTCCTGAGATTCATACTGATCGTAGTCTCCAAAATCAGCTAAAAAATAGAAGTTGCATTCAAACATTTATAACAAAATTATTTTGATACCCCATTAATTGCAGAAGGATCCCCAAATAGCAAATCTTCATCTTATTGAACTATGATCTAAAACAACGGCACACACTAACAAGTAATGTTTATGAAGAGAAAAATAAAAACAGATTCCATGTTCTTATCTTGTTCAGAAAAACTGGTAAGATTGCTTGTGGGTAGAAGAGGAGAAGAAATGATAAAATAAGCAGAACTCTGCTCCAAGTTCCTGAGGCTTTTATTTGCGTGGTTTTTAATCACAGTTGAGGACAGAAGGGGCCTCTGGAGACTAGCGTTCTCTCCTGCCCAAGCAGGTCAGCTACAGCAGATTGTCTCAGGGCCTCCCCCTGTCATGTTCTGAATACAGATTTCTGTGCAATCTGTTCCAGTGTTTCACCTCTCTCACAACAAAAGATTTGTAAGATTTCTCGTATCTCAGCTTGTGCCCATTGCCTTTTATTCTGTCCTGAGTGCCACTGAAAAGAGCGTGGCTTTGTCTTCTTTACTCCCTCCTCTCTGTTATGTACTTGTACACAACCACACTTGTACACAACAGTCTGAGCTGACAGACTGTTCTCACTGCTGGATTCCGAGCAGCCAGAGCACCTTCTCTGACTCCAGAGCTGCACCAGACTCTGCAGCTATTGTTCACAGATCGCTGCATGAAGACATCTAGAAAGTGGAAATCAGATGCCTTAACTTCCCTGACTCAAAGACAGAACTTGATAAAAACTGATTTTATGTCACACCAAAAAGCATCAAGAAGAATTTGTCTTTTTTTTTTTCTGTCTAGGAAAGAAGTAGCCAAGAGTTCAAAGAAATGAAATAGCCTAAATCAGAAAATGTATGTATAATCTCACAAGATAAACTGTTCTAAGAAACATCAGCCTGCCCAGAATGGCCACTCCAAACCACAGAAACATAATCTCCAAGTACACATCTTTTTTACGTTACCACGGATTCTAACCTATAATAGTATAACTATAGAGACATTTAGGAATCAAGTATTTATTATGCATTAGCAATTACTGTGCAAGTTATTCATGATTAAAGGGAAGAGCCTGTGACACAGTAGACCAACAAAGTACTTGAGATAAAGCAGTGCTTAGAAGCAGCCTATCGTAAGTATTTCAAACACAAATCGTTCTTGAATTCAGCGCACTCAAAACAGCAAACAACTGCTTCTGTTAGTTCACTAGCTAAAATTAACTGACCTACCTTCTATAAGCTACTTCAATCATTGGAGTGTATTAATTTAGAACCTGCACTTTTTCTATGTTGTTTTTTTCATCATGTTATCAACACATTTAGTTCCCACATAAAAGACTGAGAGAAGAATGTGAAAGCTACGAGGATAAATATTTTCCATCTGGAAAGAGGATTACATTGAAAGATATCTATAAACAACTTACAGAGCAGAGAAACTTTTATACTGTCTAAAGATATGAAAATAACAAAGCAAGATTTTGCCAGCTGAACACCATTAAATCCAGGCTTATATTAAACAGATACACTGTAATATAAACACTAACATTATTCATCTACACCACTTATAACTATATTCTCAGAAAAACATAATCATGACCTTTAATGTGTTGTAGTCATTACACATCATTTTAAAAAATAAGACAAAAAAAGAAAAAATCTTGTGGTTGTATGCACTGGTAGTGATATGCAGCTTTACAACTGCTGTTAGATGTTCTGGAGTGACATCCACAGAGAAGCAATACACAGACACAATAAACAAAGCCACTACATGAAAAAACTGTTGACTTGAGAGATTTCACATCAAACAGGCATGTTAGCAGGGAACCAGACATGATAACACTAATTAGAAAAACACTAATTAGGAAAACCAAAGTAACCATTTTCACATATGCATCTCAGAAAAGGGTTTTCAGGAAAGATTTTAACATAGCACACAGACTGTTAAAAATTCCTAAGTTGAAATAATCTTTGGTGTTAGGATATCTGGGAGAAGAGGTGGAAATACTAGTACTGCTGTACATTCAAATCTGCTTATTATTAAAGTATGTCCCTTTCTCATGTGACGATGTCAGAATAAAAAGTTTTCAGTAAGAGAAACAGATGAAAGTCCTGCAGACACAACCTGACAACTTACTTCCAAAGGTACTCCAAAGAAATTCAGGTGTCTAGGTACCTAGGTACACCTCAGAGGACTGCACTGAAATACCAGTAAGTACTGGGTCACTGATCCCACTGCCTGTCCATTCCCCTCTCTCCACCTCGTTTCTCTTCCCTAGCCAATACACCGCGTGATGAAGTTGTAAGGAGCAAGCCTTTCACCTTTCATAACTTACTGAACTGAACCTTCACTGCCTTTGTAGGGCTGTCAACTGAAAACAAAAATGTGCTTCACAGAAATAAAATTTACACTGGAAAGCAACTACCTCTTGCAGTTTTATTACAGCAAGAAGAGGGGTCGATAAGCAATAAACAAAGCACGCAACAGAAAATATATCAACAAACTTCCAATGCAACATTAGCATAATTGCCTTACTTACCTTGAACAGCCAAACCAGCCAAATGTATTGCTTGTTCTAGTGTGCAAGGAATGTTGCCCTCCAAGATATCTTTCTTTAATTGCAAATAATACTGATACCTATGTGAAGAAAAAAAAAAGGAAAAGCTAGCATGGGCTTCTTATTCTCAAGAGTCTGCACGTCCTCCCTCCATTCACTAGTATGTGAGGACGACACTCTCATCATTCAGATCCCCCATATGGTTCTTATCAACTCTTCCTTCAGCTTTCATTTATATACTGTAGAATCAAATCCTGATCCCCATGAAAGACACAGAATTTCCACAATTTCTATCTACCACCACAGCCTCATGATTATTTTTTTTGTCTTTCCTCCTTAATATTCCTATTATCTTCACCAATAAACCATCCAGCAGCATACTGTCCAGTACACTGCTGCAGCATTACTGCATTCCCTTCCAGTAAATCCAATATGCATATCCCTTCAATCATGACAGTTACTTTCATTTCTGCACTACAATTCCCAAATACATTCTGTTCTCACTTTTTTTTTTTTTTTTTTTCCATTAAACTGATCTTTTCCTGGACCATCTCTTGAACATGCAAACCCTGTAAGCTGTAACTGTGGACCATAGTCCATAGTCCAAACCACTACTTTCTTGAATTCTTCTGACCCCATTCAGTCATCCATGTCACACCCTACCTTAGCCAAGAAGCACATTTGTTTTCTATGAGACAATTTTAAAAAAATTACTGACTTCCTCATATTGTACATTAACTGTTGCGAAGTAAAGCTTTAATACTGAAAACAACGAAGCACGTGCTGCAATTCAGAGATAAAGAAAAAGTCATGGAAACATTTTGATAATCAGAAGTTAAAAGACGGATCTTTTCCTTCTCTGAACTGTTAAAATTCAGTGAGAATTTATAAATATTGTTTAGACTTTTCCTGGATCCTATTACAAAAAAGCACTATGTCACATTACACCAGATAATATCCTTACATAAAAGAATCAAAAATAACTGGGACCAAACCAAGGCCCTTAAAAAAAATGAAAGGAAAAAGCCACAGTATATCAAAGCAGGCTAGAGCAAATTCCTAAGATCACTGAAACTTTTCTTTTTTCTTATTTCTTTGCTTAGTTTATAAACTTTTTAAAACATTAAAAAGGGAAATAAATACATAGTTTGAACATAAATGCTGCCTAAAATAATAATTTCTATTTCTATAAAGTGTGGGAAAGGGAAAGCAGACAATTTGTACATGAGCTATATATTTCAGGATGCTGAAAGTAAAATTATAGACAAATTTATAAAATTACCTGGTAATCTCCTGCTGAAGTTGAGAAACAGTAGGCACATAGAACACTACTCCAAAGTACACTGTTGGTTCCAAGGCATATTTGTCCAATTGCTTTTTCAGAGGCTTGTCCAAATCTACCCATCTGCGCTGATTCTGCTTGTTGTAATACCACAGACTGAAATATGTTATCTGAAAGAAAATCATTTCAATGATGAAACAAATTTAATATTGCCATATTATATAAATATATTGTATGAAAGTCTTGCTACCTAGAAATAAAAGACTTAAGATCCTAAGACTAAGGTTATTGAGAAGCCAGAGAACTGGAGGGACATAATATTTTAATATCAAACCCAGATATTACATCCAGATAAACAACTTACATATATAAGGGCTACCAAATCTAGTTTTTATTTGCAAGCAGTCCCTGACTCAGCTGGGGCAACGCATTTAAGCCTAACAAGAAAATTAAGAGAAGTGAGAAATACAAACAGAATCGGACTGCAGGACAGCAGAGTACGGCTTGTCTTAGGAACCAGTGGGCAAGCTCACACAGGATGCTGAAGGGCAAAAGGGCATAGGGCAAATAGTCAAAAATTACCTCATTTTACTATTAATTTACTATAATTTACTATTATTACTACCACTATTAAACCAAACAGATGGTATGGTTTATTCCATTGAGCAAGAAAATGGTAAAACTTTTATTGGACATGATCTGCTTTGAAAAAAAGTTGGACTAGACTGTTTTTCTGACTCCAAAACATAGTTCTACTGAGTAACACTGCAGAGCCACTCATTCAAATTTAAATCTCTCCAGTACATTTAAACTGATTAAAATATTCTTCTCTTCTCCTGTAGCACTTATTTCATTCCATTCAGAATTATGAAGCAGACATGTACTGGAAAATAATAATGTCATTATCACAGAAAAACTAGAAATCATCATTACATTTTCTTATTGTGGGAGGTAGATAAGGGAACGCAATGAAGCACCGACCAAGATGAGGACATTCATATGGAGATTCTCCAAGTCTTTGCTACACATACATCATTACATGTTGAAATGGTAGAAATAACGACACCTTTAATCCACACTTTTCTTTACATAATTTTGTTTTCTGATGTTTTTTAAATTGTACAAAATAAAGCTATTAAGGAAGGCATTTTACAAAATACAGGAATATTTATCATAATATGTTCTTTTCAATAATTTTCCTGAATTAAACTTGGAAAAATTACCCACTTTTCAAGGAAAATATTTATTATTTTCTCAGAAACTATTATTTTGATGCTTTGGAGCACAATTTAAAATTTACTGGGGAATGAGAGCTGGTAGTAATGAACCTGTGTTTTAGTAATTTCCTGTGAAAACAAGCATATCTGAAAAATCACATAGAAATCTATCTTCTATATTTAAAATCTAAATGAGATGAAGGATCCAGCATCATGGTATTCGCTCCATTCCTTACAGCTCTGATACATGCATACTACCAAAGCATGGCTCCATATCAGAATGCAGGGACAGCAATGAAGTCAATTCTCTGTACCATCACAGAGCATTAAGTAATTTTGGACACCAAAGTCAGGGGATAGCATTTCGTCCATAGTATCATATATTCTGTAAAAGCACAGTCACCAGCAATATCTGTGAAATTAGAGCTATTTTTAAGGCATAATGCTCCTTTCACGTTTAGCAAATACTTCTTAAATCTACTGGCCAAATGTACTTCTCTGCCCCTCTCTAAATTAGCATCAATGCATTTTTAGTGATTTTTGTTTTCTCAGTGCTTAAAAACAAATTAAATTAACGTGATCAATCCAGGCAATTGCAGAATCAGTATGCAGAAGGTAGAACATGCTAGAATACAGGCTGCCCTGTATTCTGTCTTCTAACACAACTCTAGTTCCATTTGATAAAAAACACCAGCTATATTACAACACTAAATCAAATTAGAACTGTTTGTAGACACACAAAAAAATTCTCAGGTGGACACTGAGTGCTCTTCACTTCAGAATTCTAAAAATAAAGCATGAAATTTAAGAAGTCAAACACTTCTAGTTTCAAGGAGAAAAAAAAAATGGCTCCGATCACAAACACTATAAAAAAATACTGTATTCTAAATTTCTCAGTTCAAGTGCATCAGATTGGCTGATGCCGGAGAAAATATTGGCTTTTATTTCTGTGTTTCAATTCGTCCATCCCTAAGATCCAGTGCATGGTAGCTCCTGTCACCTCACAGCTTAAAATACCTTAAGATGTTAAGAATTTTAACAACAGTGCCACAGATACTCCATGAAGAAGAAATATTACATTCACTGCAACATCTCACACTGTAAAAGGATAAAAAAGGATAAAAAGTATCCCTCACAATCCATTCTATGCTCTGAAAGAGGAAAGGAAGCCCCCTATGCTGGCCCAGCTGGCCGGCTCATGGCGAACCACACAGTGCGGGCTGAGAGCACAGCCTGCATGAACAGCAGCCGCTGGACGCAAGCAGAGGCCTAGCAGACACCAAAAGCTACAGGCAAAAAGGCCTGCAGAAGCATACTATCAAAGCTGAAAGACTTCTGGAGAAGATATCACATAAACGCTTCTGGAAACCAGACAAACATTTATAAGCAACACTTTGAATAAGTTTCAACTGCAGCTTTGGTGTACGTAAGCTTCAAACAAACATAGATTTGTAACAGAAAGGGGAGACTGAACTGAAATGTCTGGTGACAGCATCACTGTTCTGTACCCTCTGAATGCAGATTCTCCTGAATCTACAGCAAGGATAAACTGAATGTACAACCTGTTTTTAAGCCATGATGATTTCTTGTGCTTGTCCATTTCCATACAACACAGACCACTTTTCCTTACCATGCACAGAACTGAGATATTACTGGCACAAGACACAGAAAAATGTTTCTATATTTTAAAATATACTCTGGAATCCAGAATATACTTATATTAAGATTTTTCTGTCACGTTATTTTCCCTTAAAACCTCCTCGAAACTGGATTATCAAAAGTAACTAAAATACAAGCCAAGGTAAATGCTATGGGCCAAAACCCACCTTCTGACTTCTCTGCAATCCTTTCACTTGACTTCAAGGGCACAATCTGACCCTGTGAAATTTCAGAGTAGTTTATGTGCCCTGGAATATTTTCACTGATTGAAATAGAATCCATTTTATTCATTATAAAAGTTTTTATTATTAGTATCATAGGACAGCACCCAATTCTAAAAAGAATGTAATGACATAACTCCTAAAATATGTTAAGCTGTTAAGATTAACACTATTTTGAGGTTCATTTATTTTAGTGACTTATTCATCACCCAATCCCTTTGAAGAAAGTCAAATATAAATAAAAGAACCTTAACACTTCTGCAGTTGCTTTCTACCTAGCTGCTTCCTGCCGCTACAGACAGAAACATTAAGTATTTTTATACAAAAGTTGAAGAACGCAAAGAAACACCCAATATAATTTTACAGCCAACAATGCCCATAGGTCTGTGGGAGAGGGAGGTAACACCCACACTGGCATCCGCAGTCAGTGAGTCCTTACAAGCTAAGCAGAGGAGCTCTATCAGGTTATGTGCGCCACAAAACTACATTACTATTATATCTTCTTGCATGATGTCCCATGACAGTCTGAGAAACAGGGTTGATCAGCCATAAGAAAAGACTCATGAAAAATCTTACTGTTGTTTTCTGTTACTTAATGGTGGGGTATAGGGAGGAGCCAAATTATTCTTCTAAAGGAGACTTCCAGTGAGAATTATTGCAGAACCATGAGAAATAGTGAGCGCGAGCTGCAATGTGGTAAACTCAAGTCAGATTAGGAAAAAAAATTCGCAGTGAGACTAGTCAAACACTGGAAGGGGTTTCCCAAAGAGGCATCAAGTCTCCATCCTCAGATTTCCTTTGAAACTGAATCAGTGATAAAGTCTTTCTACCCTGTACCTGATACTAGTTGGCTATAATTAGCAGCTGTATTTCATTTTATTTTTATTAAAATGAACCTGTCTCATCCCTAACATAATTCCACTTTGTTTGGCTCTACTTTAAACATAATTTATACGTATCAGTTATTCTGACTAGCACTACACACAGAAGAACATCTTTAATAAAGAATCTCAGGGTCTACTTTGGTCACACTATCTAGAAAAGGAATCTGACTGACAAACGTATACGTCAGATATCAAGTGTGTTATAGTCTCTCTTAAAAGCAGCTGTTCTGCATCCCCAAACTAGATTGTGCCTTTCTGTTCTCAGTAGTATAACACATCAGTAAAAGTTCTATTTCCTAGGATTCTGAGACAACACTATTACTGCTGTCTTTTACAAAATTATTCTCTATAGATCCACAGGTAAAGAAAACAAACAAACAAACAATTTATATGGGTGTTTTTCTGTCTTTATATTGGTATGTATGAATACAACACGCCATAAGGCTTTCTTGAAGAGAATGCTGAAAACACTGTCTCATCATAAGCTTTGCAGCCAGACTAAGAAAATCCCAGCTAGCCCAGGGACTCCACTGAGTCTCACTTTATCTTATACTTGGATACAAAACAGCCCCTGCCATCAGAATACAACTGTTAAAATAAACTGCTTTCAAAACTGGCTCAATAATCTCGTACTATGCACAACTGCCAGATACAAGCAAAGGCTTTACTCTATGTCCAACATTAAGAACTACAGAAGGAGACAAAAGGCACTAAAAATTCTCCAGAAACTTTCTTTTTATCACAGCAAATATCCCCCTCCACAAATCTTCCCAGTCTCTAGTGGAGAAACCTGGACTTGTTTTGGAGCAGCCTGGACTGGCCAGGGTACAAGATACAAGACTTCCTGGAAGTGGTGGGAAAAAAAATCTTTAAGTCTTGCCATGTATCCGCCACCAAACAGAAAGCTACAGTCCTCAACATCCACCAGTGCTTTCAGAACAAGGAGGAGGGCTGAGGAGCCTCATAGAAATCCTCTCTTTTTTCCCCCCATTTGACACCACTCACTTTAGGGCACTTTGGCTTTCTTGACTATTTTTGTTCTAGCACTGACAAGGTTTTCAACTGCAGCTACCCGCAGGGAGGATTTAGCAAGGTACTAAAAGAACTCAGAAAGAAGCCAAGCTTAACTCTTTCACACAGTAAACATTTTTTCCAACACAACCTACTGCCACATCCCTGCAATGATTTTATCTGACTGCATCAATATCAACAAACGCTACTTAAACAAAGCAGTTGCCAATTACAGCTTAAATCAATATTGCAGGGATAAGAAATTTAAGAATAATAGTTTTAAAAACCAATATTTTGCAAGGTAATCTAACATTCTAATTCAGATTGAAGCACTGCAAGAATGGTGGTATGTGAATAAATGGGATTGCCTCTGAGGGACAAGGCAGATTTAACTTATCAGAACGTTATACAAAATTAAATTGGCTAATCTACAAGATAAAAAGCAATACTTTTACAGCACATAAAAGATGTTATGTCCCATCAAGACATATTTTAATTCTTGCAGAAACAGGTCAGTTATTGGTTAATATAACCAGGAAACACAGAACAGTACCTTTTTCTTCTTCTGTAAATTGTGCTACTTTTCCCACCTCTGTTCAAGACTCCAAGAATAAACTTGCATCCCTACTTCTGACTCTCACCTTACAAAGCACCGACATTAGAGGAAGTATTACATTCCCAATTATTGGATTCTGAAAATCTGATCATTTTACTGTGTCAAAGTAGTATAAAAATACAAAACAATAAACTAACATCCTCACTTCAGAACTAATGAAAATCTGTTATAGTTAGTATAAAATTAGTATGATACTGTATCATAACTCACAGGTATTGTGACTGTGAAAGAATACAATCAAGTGGTACATTCAAATTCTGACTGAACTTTATTAAAAACTAGAGAAATCAGGGGCAGTGTTACCTAACTACCACATAGGCTCTCCTGGAAAAATCTTTATTAATTTTGTATCGCTCAGTGTAATAAGCAAGATGGAGAGTAAATCTTACCTTAGAGCATACTGCTGTTTTCCTCCAGAAAAAAACACAACAGTAATTACACCTAAGGCAATTGCTGATTTTTAAAATGCTCTATCCTTCTGTGTATCTGGACACATGAATTATTATTTCAGCACATTTAAAATTAATACATGATGGAGTCAATTTTGTTTTTCAAGAAAGCTGTATTTTAAATGAATAATACAACACACTGAGGGTCTTTCTATGCATTCCTCCATGATAATTTCTCTTCCTTTCCCAACGCTAAGCAGAACTTCACTCAGACAGGCAGCCATTAACAGTTCAACAATCAGCACTTCTTGCTTTATTTCTTTAAGTATCAGCCAATAATTTTTTAAAATTTGATACGAGGCATAAACATAATTATGTTAGTGACTCCTCTGTCATTACTTGGCCCAACTTTTATCTGCTGGTCAGTATGCTCACTAATACATACACATGCAAGAGAGTTCATGGTTGCACTTGGTCTTATTTTCAAAACATTGCTTACCTACGTAAAAAAATAAATAAACAAAAAGACTGAATTAAAAATAGTTTCATGCATTTTCTCAAAACAAGAGGTGATCCTTTGGACTTCAGAAAAAATTTTTAGAAAACACCGAAGCACTGTTTTAGAATTTCCAAGTTATTCAGAGTTTGGATAACTTTGATTCATTCTTTCCCATTCATGTCCAAAACAAACACAGGAATTCACGTGTACACCACACATACTTTACACAGAAGCTCTCTATTTTTTTTAATATGAGTCACTTGTGTACCACACATTCGCACTGAAGTCAGATTGTGTTTGCACACGTTAGCAGAATTTGGCCGTTTATTCTGGTATTAAAGTGTTATTAGAAAACAGAATTAAAAGATTCAGCAAGAGAGCTAAATCAGTTGTAACATCTGCCAAATATCCTATAAATATCTAACTGTAGTAACACTTTAAAAACATTTTTATATTCTCAAGTACCTAATTTGTATGTTTGTGTCCTAAAAGCAACACATGCAGTATTAAACATTCTTTTTTAGTTAGTTAATAATCAGAGCTCTGAACACTTTTTCACAACTTGCAATTTCAAAACGATTTTCCACAACAAATACAGCTTTTCCTTTGATTACAGTAAAATAATAGTTTGAGTATAGTCCTCTCATGGGACAAAAGACAAACTATCCCTCAGTTTAATGCACTCACTTCACTTTTTTTGCAAGGCTTGCCATTCAGTAACAAAATAAAACTGTCCAAGTACTTAGACTTTCTGAATCCTAAGTTTGTGTCCATACAACTTGAAAATGAGATAAACTGGAAAAAAACTACAAAAGTAAATTAGTGTTAACCTACACATTACATAATCTGAGGACTACTATTCAAGTATGATCTGTTAAAACAAATATATTAAAAGATGGTACAGCACTAAGAAACCAATCAAATCACTACCTAAATTCACTAACTACAAATTACACCAAGATAAATTTTATCAGAGTGTGTAAATAGGTCAAGATTCCACTCATAACTCCTGCAACTAATTATTCTGAGGTACAGCAAAACTACATAGCCCATATACAGTAATCTGATGCTCATGCCTCCACTTTCGTATCCAATGTAAATCTCAGTGCTTAAATAGTCACACTTTCATGTTTAAAGCTTTCTACTCACACTTTAAAGGGTGTGTCATGCATTAAAAATATGAGTTCTTAGAGAATGTACTTAGTATTCCACAGTATCAAGGATTAATACTGTTTTCGCAGAAGAAGCAAATGCTCAGCAATCTTCCTGAAAACTTCATACTAAGAAAACAGTCAGAAATGAGCCCTGTATCTGCTTGGCAAATCCTACTATTTAAAGGCAAAACAACATTTTTTGAACGCAAGCTCTGGAAAGTAATTTATATCCCTACTTTCCATTCCCTTTTATTGCAACACATTTTCCTGCCAAAATAATCCATGCAAGAATGCATGACCAAAAGAATCTGTTCTGAGTTCAGTAGTGTGCTGTCAACTCCCTTAGTTTGATATATGACTCTTAACTGAGGGAATTGCCAGACTTTTTTTTTTTTTTTTTAAATAATAATAATAATCAGATTTATGAGTAGGTCCAGTGAAAGAGATAATGAATCGCTGAAAAGAAAAAACAACCAACCATGCGTCTCCAACGCTTTGTAAATAGATAAATAAAAGCCAGTGGTCATCATTCCAGAACACAAAGCCTTTGCATTTTGCAAATCAAACATAGTTAAATTCTTTACCTTCTGTTGACTAAGCGGTGACATCTGAGGGTACATAAACTGACAAACTCCATTCAATCACAACAACTGAATTCTAGATATGTGACACCTGATGTGTTCTAAGTAAATGCTAAGGCTATGAGAGTACTCAGATTTTCCCTTTTCTAGAAAGAGCAAGGAAAAAAAAGCCATATCACTCCACAGAATTGCACTTTTCCACAGCGACTGTACAGATTAAGAATATTTGGACAACACAAAAAGCATACTGGGACAGAAAACATAAACAGTAAACAAACAGATGAATGGATTCCCTCTTTTTTCATTTATTCCCTAACCAAGGAGAAAAAAAATATTTCTAGAACAACTGACTGTATCTAGTATTTCCCACTGATAAATTCTACACCTATGCATGCTAAGTACAGTAATCAATGTTTGCAGAATAATCACCATATGCATGGGAGAAGAGTTCAATTTCAGTTGAAAAAGTATATTTTTAAAATACCTAGCAAAAAACTGGGGGGAAGATGTTATACAGCTGTCACTAGTGTATACCATATTTCTCCATGAGGCCAGACATTGATCTAAATGACTCTACACTTGCTCAAAGGCACCGTCTGCAAACAGATTTGTGATTTGTGAACAAACACTAGAAATAGTCACCAGCAAGCACACATATCACATTTGTGCTTCAGGTTCTTTTCGCAGCACCGATCCACCAGAAATAAATGCACAAAAATAACATTCTTTCATGTCCTAATCTATAATGACTTAAAATCTCACGTCTCTCAGCAATTCTTAGCCATGTTGCTTAGGCAGAAAGTGTGTGGTGGCATTTGTTTTTCTTTTCTTTTAAATTATATTTTCAGCATTGTTAAATTTAGAAACAACCAGTGCTGTGGATCTGTTCATCTTTCTAAACTTCTGTTCACTGCCACTTCTCACACATTGTTACCTTAGGCATTCTCTTGTTCTGTAAGGTATGTTTTGCACCAGTTTTGGATCAATCTTATTCATCCTCAAGACCAGACTATGAAGAAACAAGGGGTGCACAGAACAGCTGTTCAACTGTTGTTGTAACCAAGCTGCTTGCCCCAAATGGTAAGGATTCACCATGAAGGTCATCTAGCACCAGTGAGAAAGCCATACATTAACATGACAGTTCACTCACCTCCCGCAACTCAAGCCTCTGAGCCACTGCTTCCAGACTTTCCTGGCCTGTGCTTTCCACAGATAGTGTGAACTCCACAAATTCATTATTGAGTAGCTGGATCCGAGCCACCAAGCAACTCTTGCTGGATACTGTATAGCGTCGAGTTCGTTTCAATTTTAACCCAAAAGGTAGAGGCATCTTCTTTCCCACACCGATGGTTGGAGATAAAAAGCTACCACCACCAGGGATTTAAGAGAGGAAAAGCAGCAGTTTCCTCTCAAACAATAAGGAGCTGTAAAGTCTCCAAAAATCAACCACCAGCAGCAGTATCCATTAAAGGTAAGCAATTTTTCCGCTGACACGCAAGTAGAGGAGCATCCACTGGAATCCTAGCAAGAAGCAAAAGAGAAAGAAAAATATATACGAAGCAGAAACAATTTTCAGATCTGTTATGCATTCAAATACTCAAAGAAGCACAAGAGTTTCTGGTTTTTCCACATACAACACTAGTCTTTGGGTGTTGTTGGTTGTGTGTGTGTGTTTTTACTTGTAAGTAAATAATGAGTCTTGATTAAACATGGCTGAAATGCCTTAAAATAAAAAGCATTTCTTAACTGAACTGGTATTTAAGTGAAAGACCTCTAGAAAGTTCTTCAGTATTTGTAATGCTGACGAAATCCTTTTCTTTAAGAGCAAAACCAGCAGTTAGGCATTATTTCAGAGCAGCGTGGAGCCTCAGCTGCTATCTGTTGGATTAAACACAAAACCAAGCCCCAAAGAAAGGCAGGAAGCGAGGCACTACACCTCACACCTCAGCCATTTCCTACCAGACAATTAAAATCCAATTCTTCTAATTTTCCCTGAATTGCAGCTCACGGAGCCATTATTTCTTATGTTAAAGTGCGGTACACTCTTTGAGGTTATGGTTTCTCTCACACCACAATATGCTAATTCTGAAAACTATTTATTTTCCAATTTTTCACCGGGGGGGGGGAAAACATTTTTTTTCTAAACGTAAAGGCAGCCGCCTGTTCACCCCCCGCCTTTCGCAAACACCTTCACACCTGCTCTCCTGTCGGCTCCGCCGGGCACTTACTTTACCCTTCCCTTCTTCCAAACTCTGTCTCACCTCTTGTGCCCCAGCCTAACTGGTTTGGATTTTCAGTAGCACACGGAAAACAAACGCACTGCATGAACGCAGGTAGTCCTGCAGCAGCGTAAGCGCTCAAAGCACCACCACCACCCAAATGGCGGGGGATGGTCTCAGGAGGGCCGCCCAAACACCGTGATTCGAACCGATGCCCACCCGGCTCCCGGTCCGGGCAGCTCCCATGGGCGGCAGCGGGATGGGCCGGGCCCAGGCGGCGGCCCCGAGCACACGGCGCGGCCGCATTGTTCGAGCTCCACTGGGTGAGGTGCCGCGGGACCTCTAGCGGCAGCGCCGTGCTTCTCGAAATAAAGAGGTGTAATCTCACACACACAAAATAAACAAACAAACAACAGATACGGGAATAATGCGTTTTAAAAGGCACAGTTTGATTCCCGAGGGCTCTTCTCAGATTAGAATAACCACAAGAATTAATATATCCATTTATTTGGGAAAGGGGAAATCAGAAGTAACCTCCTACTGCACCTCTGCACCTGTTTGTACAAAAGGTTTAAACAACCAGACAGCACCACAGTGCTTGTATGTTTACACACGCACGTAGAAATACAACGTTACTCAGTGCAACCAGACCGGGTTGCAATGCCCTGCCAGACCCCGTGCTCCGCTCTTTCAGGCACCGCGGAGAAGCAGAGGCAGAAGGGCTGCAGGCCTGAGGAGCAGCGTAGCATTTTTCCTCGATGACATCTTTGCAACTCAGAGAATGACCAGAAGCACATTTCATGGCCATGCTTCTAATAAGCTGGAGGCCGTTCTACACAGTCCTCATCCTCCACAGATGCCATCTAAAACCTTAAGATTCGTTACTACTGATTTAACACTCCCTCGGCCCTCCACCCCTCCCTCTAAATAAATAAATAAATAAATAATAAAAAATAAAATAAAAAAAATTCCAAGCACTGACTCAATTACTCTTGGGTGTGGCCACAATAAGTAACAACTGACAGCAACAAGTTTCCCTGAAAATTCTAGAGACAGGCAGAGCCTCCTCACTTGATTACTTGCTCTGCACACTGATCCTCCAAATCCAGCCCCGAAGAGCAGCATGCAGGGAATGCTCTGTGAACAGAAGCTTTTAGTTTCCTGCCCACTGCCAGCAGAATCTCGCACTGGTTTTATTCCTGGCCGTGAAACTTTTGGCTGACTGACCTTAGTTCATTTCTGTGACACATTCTGTGCACAATTATGCATTCTTTTCTTTGGTGCTACAGCAAAGTGAGAAACCAATTTATCAACTTTTTTGAAGGCTGCAATCACAAGCGCAGTGCTGTTCTAATCTCAGTTTTACAGTCTGAACATAAACTGTTAAGACCCCATCAGACTCTTAGAAAAGTATCCCAAGAGCATGGAAGAAACATCAGGAAGCAGCGGTAGGTGAAATTCACAAGGCACCTAATGCTGACTTTAGGTGGTCTCCAATCTCAGTAATTTCTCTACGAGCGCAGGTAGCAACGCAGGCATGAGGAGGAAGCTTAGGTCAGAATTTTCAGAACAGGAGCGATTAGCAATGCCAGGTGCTCTCGTATTTGCCTTCTGCATAATTTTAAGTTGGGATACGTCTGCACTGTTACAAAGCTACAGCCAGAAGTTGCAAACCCGGGTGACTCTCTCAAAAACAACAACCCTTTATTTAGCAAGCCTGGGATTTTTACACAAGTAAAAATGTCATTCGTGGCCAAACTTGGTACACTTATATTTCAACACATAGTTGCTTTTAAAATTAGAGCAACATGCTCATGACTGAAACACAATTACCAAGCACTGTGATATCTTTTCCCCTTACTTACCCCTCCGTTTCCCACTTTCCCCTTAGTAATAAGCATTTTACTCTACAAAGATTTTCAAACAGTCTGCGTCAGTGATAGCATGTGAAATAAAGCTGCAACATCTTACAGAAGAATAAGTTTTTATAATATTAAATGCTCAAAGTACTTTTTTTTTTTTTTTTTTTTTTGTGAGAGATTTAGGGAGCCAGAAAAAAAATAAATCAATCAGAGTACTCTACCCTTCCCTTGTTAATCTTTGACTTGGCTCCTGGACTAAAACAGCCACAGTAAGCGCACATCTCAAACTTCTCCTCCCTCCAGAAGCACAGAGCTCTACAGTCTTCACTTTTCAAAAAGTAAATGCTGGGAACTCCTCTCACAGCACACAGCCACACTTACCCACTAAGTTTGCCTGCCGTTTTCCCATTACCTTTTCCTGCGATCCGAAGACACCGAGCCTCCTTTCACATGTGTGCAGCTGAAGAAAAACCACAGTGCTCCGAGATGTCTTCTGGCGGAGCCATCTCATCTGTACTCCTGTACTGCCTTACTGTGCTCCTCCTGCACCGCACAGCTGCTATCTCGGCTAACCCACCTTCTTCTCAGATCACTCATAGTGAAAACATTCCTCACTTCCTGTCTCAAAAAACTTGCTCTGGGTATCATTCCACTGGGTAAAGAGCTGGGGGTGGAAGGAAATATTGCAACAAAATAAACCAGTGCCAGCCAGCTCTGCAGGCAGCCTCTCCACGCCACGCTGTGCTGCACGAGCACAAAATCGCCTTCTCTGGAATATTTTCAAGTCGTCCGTCTCTGTGTGTCCGTGTGTGTGTGCATTTAATTTCTTTTCCTGGAGGCGTTCCCCTCGCTCTACCCATGCGGAAGGATACGCCGAAAGAATTAAAGTGAAGGCCCGTATGCTTGCAGCCCATTACCTCACAGAGTTGGAATGCCTGGCAGGGAGAATGTCAGCAATGAACAGCTGCTTCACTGGCTGCGGGCTGCTACAGAAATAGGGGCTACAACAAATAGCAGGCAATCCTTGCTTTTTTAATCATATGATCATTTATTTTAAGCTTTTCCAATTAAGGCAAATCTCGTACAAAAAAATAATTATCTGTTGGCCTTATTATTTTTATTATTATTATTTTTACACAGCTTGGAAGCATATTCAAGTCATATGTGCCACACTAAGTAACCTATGCACATACATTAATGCCTGCAGCTAGAAGAAGTCTTTGCAAAGTTTCAGCTGTTGGTAATATACACAGCAAGAAAATGCAGACTTAAAGGCTGATCCTTCAGCTCGTCCTCTCACATCAAAACTCCCAAAGGCTCCAGAAAAAGGTATGTCTTTAATAACAACCATCTTATCAAGCATTAAAGTAATATTTATAGTGTTTAATGAATTAAATCCTCACATAGAGGGCAATATCCCCTTCCCACAAATACTCAAAAATATACTCAAAAAATGTACAAAAAATAAACAATTGTTGTATGCTACGTAGAATGTCATTCTCCACGTTACATGAGCCAGGTAAAAGTATATACAAACTTGAAACAGGTGAGGGATGAGGAAGAAGATAAAGCAAACATGCTACTGTCTGAGCAAGTCTAACTTGCAGACCTGCTATGCAAACAGAATGCTGCTGAGGACACTAATCGCAGCTGAAATATGTAGACAATTTTGTACTACGATGAGTTCTTCTCAGTTATTTCTCTCAGACACAACAGGTTTCCTCCAATCAAGGGAATTACCTCTTTTTTTCTCCCACATATGAGCCATAGTTACAATGAAGAGTCCATAGGCCAAGAAAAGAATTCATTCAGAGGAGTCTTATATTGAATAAACTAAACAACTTTGAACTAAACTAAATGAATATCCTTTTCTAGTAGTATGTTAGAGGCCAGAACTATGGTTACTTGCCTGAGAAAACTGAACAATATAATGCATGACAAATCCAAACTCTGAAGATTTAGGGTAACGAAAGCAACACCTCCTATTTCTAAACAATTCATACTGGAAACAAAGTCTCAATACTCCTATCTGCTTCATTTTCTATTCTAAGTTTTGATCGTGCCATTTTCCTGCCTGCTTCCCTGCCTTGAAGTTGAATTATTAGAATTTTTAAATACAGGTAGGACATTGCTCATAGGCTTCTCCACAGCTTACATTTTCTCCTTTGAAGCTCATCAAACCTTTATTCCTAAACTCCAGGTTTTTCTTTTGCTTTCTATAAACGCTAGTTTGTATCCTAACTCTGTGTTTATCTGTATTTTCTCCATTTTGCCCTTTATATCTCATATTTTTCCCCATCAGATCTCATTACCTGCTTTACCTATCATCTCTGACAAATAGGACAAAGTGACAGTGGAGTCCATGAGCCCACAATGATCTCTGATACAGGCACATTAATAAGACATAGCCCGATCACCTCAGAGCACTATAGTGTGCTACTGCTGCTCCCCTTCAACTCCCAATCTATATTTTCATGGCATGCATAGTGAGAAATACCCACATCCCTTTCAGAAATACCCACTCCCCCGTCAGAAAAGTGGTATGTATACGTATACTTTCTTCAGCCTAATGGAGAGTTATCCACTTGTGATAAAATACATCATAGTCCCCTAACTACCATTTAAAGGGCTATTCCCAGGATGCTGAGACAATGAAGAATTCATGTAGAAAAAAAAACTTAATTTACTCACTAGCCATGCAAAATAGTGACTTAATGAACTGAAAAGACAGAGTATTTCTGATTCTGTGTGTGATTGTTAAAGCTATTCCCTAAACAAATTCACTTTATTACTCCCTGTGGCTAAGACATCACTGTTTTGCCACTTTTCCCTTCCTTATCTGTGAAAAACCAGGAGATAGTTGGGTATCCATACATCATGACCTGCTTCTCAAAGGTAAAAAGAAATGAGTAGAATGGAAGCTGCTAGAAAAATAAGCATGCACTAGGTCTATTACATGCTTGATACCTGAAATTACACAGTTGCAAGATTTATTTTGACTTACAAGGCACTATAAAATGTTGAATTATGTTCTAGTAAAATAAGTAATTAATTTTATAGGGTTTTACTATATTAAACTGGTCACTTTTCCAAGACAGGCAGCACTGAACAAGAAGCAGGGAGCTTCTGCCATAATTCATAAAAGATACTTTTTTGGAACAAAATATTTTTTATGGAAAGTAAATTAATTAGTTGATGACATAAATTTAATTCCCATTAGTGTCCTTCAATATATTTTTTTGTTCCAGCAATTAAGTAGTATAACTTATTTGAAATCTAAATGGAGCTAAATATGTCTCTCAAAAGTCAAAAAGGAACGTTATAATTAAACTAATCTGTTACTCACTGTATCTCACTGTAACACCAGCACAGTATGGTCAGGTGAACAGCTCAGATCATTAGCATTAATTAGTGTAGGCCACCTCTGTATTATGTTTGGTTTATATTAGGAGCCGTGATGCACAAAGAGATTAAAACAGCTGTTGCCATTGGGTAAAGTAAACTCCAAGCATTAGTACTTTTAAAAGACACTTTATATGCTGATCTCTCTGTTCTTCGCTGCCCACTAGACTGGCACTGCTGAAGTGACGTGGGACACTGGTGCAGGAGACGAATGGCATGGCTTATTTTTTGTTCGTCTGCCTTCTGTCTCCTCTGCGTAGTTCCTGCTCCCTCAGAAAGCGATCCCTCGTAGCAGTAACGCTGGCAGATGTCAGAAAGACGCTCGTACATTTGTTAACTCGGGCTCAGACCCAGAGAGCCGCTGGGCCGGGTCCCAGCAGGCCACCTCCTGCAGGCTGCGGAGCGCGCAGGACAAAGCATTTACGAGGAGCCCGGCGGAGGGAGGCCTCCCTCGGGCCTGGGGGCGCTGACCGACGCGGGCCCTGAGCAGGAGACAGCGGCGCCGAGCGAAGGGCGGTCGAGCGCGCCCGCTTCCCTCCGCCCGCGTGACTGCCGGCCGTGCCCCACCGCCGTCCCCGACTCGACCCGCTCTCCTCTCCCTCCGACCCGGCGGCGGCCCGACCCGTGCAGCCCGGGCCCGGCGAG